TGTAGTTTTTGTTATGATTTTATATTATTAATGAATATTAATTTTTTTAATGAGTAGCATTTGTTTGATAAAAGATAAAAGAACAAGCCAGATATTAATAATATTTAATTAGTATAATAAAATATATATTTTCAACAACAAAAAAGTAATTTTTTTATAAAATATTTAAAATCAGAGAAAAAAACAGAAAAATACCTATTACGTGTATTGAATGCTCCTGTAACGTTAGTGCTCAGCAAATTGTGCAGCTTAAAACCTCAGATAAGCAATCCAGCATGGCAGGGTGAACACTTGCGTTTGTACGTTACGATGTCATGTAAAGAAAAGGAGATACAAGCTAAATATCAATGGGTGGCTTTCTTATTTTTTTTATTTTAAATATTTATTAAAATATTAACATCTTCAAATAATTTTTCTTTTTAGATGTATTTCATCATATCACCCTTAATTTTGCACCTTAGATTAAATTTTACACAAAGTAGTCACCGTATATTTAATAATTTTAAAACTTAAAATTTAAGATATTATCACTTGTAAATTCCTATTAAATTTTTTTGTAATCTACTTCGTATTAAAAAAATTTATGAGCTATCCAATCCTTTATTTAAATAGACTTATGTCTAAAAATACCATAATACATGTATATGATATTATAAATTTTATAGTTTTATTTATTTAATATAGTATTATTAACATATTATAGTTTATATATGAAAAGTGTTTATATTATTATAGAATTAGTCAATTTTAAATAAGTTAATCTATTAAATTTAATAATTATTTTAAACAAATTTAGATTTAGTTTATTAACTAATTAAATATTTAATTTATTACTTAAATAGGTTAAGTTATACGCTTTTATCAAAAAGTCTAACCTATTTTCACTTATATTTATAAGGGCAAAACTTTCTTTTTAAAAAAATTTTGAATACTAAAAAAAATGAAACTTTAAACTTGAATTTAGACTATTGAAGATTGTTATTGCCACGTGTTAATATTCGATTCAGTTTTATTTTTAATAAACGAAATTAATTTAATATTATACAACTCACTTTACTTTGATATTCTTTTTTTTATCTTTTAAATTATAAAAATAGTTAACATTAAGATTCATAATAAAATTAAGATGACATTATACTTAAATTACAAAGTTAGTGAAAAAATTAAAATTAGAACATTTAAAGTCAAAGACAAAACTATGCTCTAATCCCTATCATAAATTTACAAAAATTCTTGTTGTGCCCTTTAATATTCTTATTTTCTTTTCAAGATAAATGACATATCTTATTATAATGTAGATATTTTTTTTTTATTGTAAATTTAAATGTTACCTATTTTTTTATATTCTAAAACTTTATTTGAAGTTAGTTTTTTGAAAGTGGAAGGAGAAGGAAAGACTTAGTTAATTGTAATTTTTATTTAAAAAAATTTAGATGAAAGAAATATGTTTTATAAATCCTCAAAAATTCTTTTAAATTAATATTTTGATAAAATTATTCTTTTTATCTATTAACTTTAGAGTAAAATTCATTTTCATCCTCTAACTTTTTTTTGAGTTTATTTTTGTCTTTAAACTTTTTTTCTTTATGTTAATAATTTCTAATAACTCTATTAGATGGCCTAACAAAGATATCTTAAGTGGTGCTGAAATGACTTTAACATTGTTAACTTAATCTTATTTAGGTTTTTTTTTATTTAAAAAATGATGATGTGGCGTTAAGTGTAACTTTTCTTTTTCTTTTTCCTTCCCCTCTCATTCTTCTTCCCATAGCCCCCCACCCCTTCCTCACAACCCACCAATTCTGTCTTTTCCTTCTGTAGCTCCTCTTTCGCCTTTCCCTCAGTCCCCTCCCTTCCCCTTCCTCCTCCCGTGGCTCCCTTCCCCTTCCTCATCTCTTTCTTTTAACTCATCAACCTTGTCTCTTTCTCGTGTAGCCCCCTTTTTTTTTTCTTTTCTTGCAAATTAAAAAGTATGCCAAATACAATCACATGATCTAAGTTCAGCAAAATTCAATTATACAAAATATGTTATATATCTTCTTATTGCTAAGGTATCAAGTGAAGGTTGGACGCAACCAATAAATTTAGCTATTCAACTAATTCTTTGTCTAAACAATATGTATAACATAAATTATCAACATAATAATCCTTTTCTTAATTAGTAAGTCTTTTCCTTGTGACATACTTATTCCATGACATCTAGAATTTCCTAAGGATACTTATGTTCCTAGTTGATGACATAAGGTATACTTTAAGGTTTTGATAGGTTAGGAAAAAGGGACTGCAAGAGAAGGAGACTGGTGGGTTGGGAAAATAGAAGGAGAGGGGGCTGCAAAAAAGGGAAAGAGGAAGTTGTGTAAAAGAGAAAGACGAACTATGGGAGAGAGAGATAAAGCTGATTGGTTGGGGGAAGGGGTAGTGGAGATGCAGGGAGGGGGGTTTGTGAGAAGGGGAAAAGGGACTATTGGAAGAGGAGAGGGAAGCCGTGGAAGGAGAAAAAGGAAGGAAAGGGGCTGAGAAAAAGGAAAAAGAAGGGCTACAAGAAAGAAAAACTGGGTTAGTGAGTTGGGAGGAAGGGATAAAGGGCTATAGAAGGAGGAATGGGAGGGGAAAAGGCTACTCGAAGGGGAGAGGGATGCCGCAAGAGGAGAAAAGGGAGGGAAAGAGAATGAGGAGAAAGGGAAAGAAGAGCTACAAAAGAGAAAGACAAGGTTGATGAGTTGGGAGGAAGGGATAAGGGGCTGTGGGAGGGGAAGGGACTCTTGAAAGGGTCAGATAAAGCTAGTGAGTTGAGAAATAAAAAAGAAAAAGAGAAAAATAAGTTACATTCAATGTCACGTCATCATTTTAAAATAATTTTTTAAATAATTTTTTTTACATAGAATTAAGTTAACGATGTTAAAGTCATCTCAGCCCTATTTAAAATATTTTTACTAGGCCATCTAACAGAGTTAACAAAAAAGAATAACGTGAAAAAAAAATTACAGAACAAAAATAAAAAAATTAAAGAACAAAAGTTAATTTAAACTTAAAAATAAGGAAAAAAAAGTAATTTTGTCTAATATTTTAAATTTTTTATAATTTAATTTTTTTATTAAGCCTTTTTCTTTTTTCTTCTTACTCCAAATTTATAGACAAAATGTAAGAAATAAAAAAATTAAAAAATTAAAAATTAAAATAGAGTAAGTTTTATAATATCAAATTATTTTTTTTATCAATATCAAGAATAAACATAGTTTACATCTTAACAGGTGACAATAGTAAAATGTCTAAATTTAAATTGAATATTAAAAAAATACTAATTTTGTTTATTATTGAGCAAAATTGTTTATGATATTAACATGTGTTATGGTTTTTCCAATTTCATTTTTCTAATATATAAAACTACTTAAAAAAAAGTTGACACTTGCAAAGTTATAAATTAAGAATGATAAGACAAAAAATACCACAATTAAAAATTTTATTTGAAAATATAATATTTAATAAAAAATTATAAAAAAAACCCATGTCATGGAAATAGTTTGCAGATTTCAAATGTTAAACAAAGAAAAGGAGAGACGAATTAAAATATTAATGACTATTTAACGACTTTTAATTTATTTGAGTATGTTTTAAAATATCTTAATTTTAAAAATAACAAGTCACAAAATATTATTTATAGTAAAGGTAAATTGTATTTTTAGTTAATTTTTTAGGGCACTTTGTATTTATTAAAGTATATAATTTTTTTTATTTTGAATAGTGATATTTAGATATAAAAAAAATCAGTAAAACATGTATATATATATATATTAATGAATTTTACATTATTAATTAAAATTTATTCAAAAATAAAAATTATAAATTTCACATTTTTCACGTAAATTTAGTTCTTCCGTATTTTTTTAATTTATAAATTTTTAAATCAATAATAATTGTGTATTAAAAAAATTGTACCAGAAAATTTATTATTAACATTTTTACACAATTTTTAAATAAATTATAAATATTCTCGCGTTTTATGTTACACTTTATATACTTGTCAATTTATTGCCTCAACAGTAAAAATATATACACTAAAAAAATTATAATTAAAAGTAATTAATTATTATAAAATTACTTAAACTTAAAATTTTATTTAAACAGTATTAAATCAATTGTTACTCAGTCAAATAATAATTTTATTCAAGTAATTAAAAAATAATTATAATTATCTTTTAATTTTTAAATACTTACATAAAATTCATTTTATTAATATGCATTTAATTAAGTGATATAACATGATTTTTGTCTTTCTTTTTATTGACTAAATAAGATTTTAGTATAAATTTTTCTTGTACAATGTATTTGTATTTTTGAATTAATTTTTTTAAATATTTAAAAATATACCAAATGAAATTTAAATATATTTCATAAATAAAAAAATACTATACATTTTTAATATTAATGGTTAACTATTATTACATTAAATAAAATTAAATAAAATTTTTAAAATAAAAGAAAGAGATAAAAATATATTGTAAAAATTAATATATATATATATATATTTATTTATTTATTTTATTGATATGATGTGTTAAAATTTAAATATTTTAAATTAAGATTATGATATTCTTAACTTTTAATTTGTATGAAAAAGTAAAGATTTTTAAATTTTTAACATATTAGTTTTTTTTTCACTTTGACTTTTAATTCCTATTTATTCAATTCCCCGTAAGAAAAGTATGCATTAAATAGACTTTTGTTTTACTTTTTTTTTTTTTTTCCATTTGATACAATTTTTTTAGCTAAATTAATTCGACGTCCACGGATAGTATAATCTTAAAAAGGGTAAATTTGTGGGCAAACTTTCGTAAAGTTTTCTAATTAAAACATGTAATATTATTTAAAAAATTTGTAACTTATTTGTGTAATCAACAAAGGTTATTAAATGCTATTTTTTTTTTATTATTTTATTTGAGAAGGACGATCAATTTGTAAAAATTTGGTTTATTATTATTGAAATAAGTGTTGTCGAGAGATTGTTGATTTGATTTGTCTGGGTTCAGTCCATGCGAGTCCAATTAAATAAATAGCAGATTCCGCGCAATTGCTAAATCTCTCCGTCTTCTTGTTCCTCTCGCTGAGAATCCGAGATCAACCCCGACCAAGTTTGGGGTTTTTCTCGGCTTCTTCTGATTCCTCTTTTCGCGATTTGAAAATGGCGCCGGTTTCAGCTTTAGCCAAGTACAAGCTGGTCTTCTTGGGTGACCAATCCGTCGGCAAAACCAGCATCATCACTCGCTTCATGTATGATAAATTCGACAACACCTATCAGGTACATCAGATCCAATCCCTTTTCCAAAATCACTGCAAAGTCAGAAGCTAAAACCACTTCATAAACTTTCAGTTTTCGGCGTTTGATTTGATTCGTTGTTAATATGTATATTAAACAAATTAATATTAGCTTGTTTGGATTCAGATGTAACCCTGCTTTTGAATGCGATTTGCTATTCCTTGTACTCTGTTCAACAAACTGTTAGGCCGACTAATTACTATGATTTTTATTTTATTCTGTCAAGCAAACTATTCTATGCTCTAGATTTGATTATAAATCTTATGTTAGATTCAGTTTATGCGCCGTGACCTTTCTCATGTTCCCCTTTACCTTTTAGAGTTTGGATTGTTTTAGATAAACACTAACTTATACTAAGAAATTGTTCAAACCAATTGAGAATACGCAACCAATTTATTGACTCGCTGCCAAGAACCAGAGCTGAATGGAACGCAATAACGAATAACAAAATGAATTAACGGTCAAATTGTGTTTTATATCTTTCATTGATCTCTTAATTTTATCAATTATAACTATGTTACCGACTTCTTGTGCTGTGCTTGAAGTTGTCTTGAGAATTATGTTTTTCATTTTCATACCGTGTATGCCTACTACTCGTGTTTTCATGATGTGTTTATAAGTGAGTTAAATTTCATTTCCTTAACTTGATCTTCTTATATACTTTTGTTGAATGCAAATTGATTTTGATTTTTGTTTTCTCTGCAGGCTACAATTGGTATTGATTTTCTATCAAAAACTATGTATCTTGAAGATCGGACTGTTCGACTGCAGTTGTGGTAAGAAATGGGAGAAATGGGACCACTGTCTTATAACATAAAATAATTGTATTTCTCATGGATGTGGGGTTTCTTTTTCTCGCCTGTCTCATTCCAAATAGGAGCTTAAGGATGCGTGTTTTAAATTTGTGGGTATATGGGGAGAGACTAGGTATCCAGCCTTCAGTTTCTTCTCTCTCTCTCTTAAAATTATGTAATAAAAGGTGTAAAATATGTTTCAATGAGTTTACTTCTCTCCAGATTACTGAATTCGTATGCATGTGAAATCTTAATATTTTTCCTTGTTTCTTTAGTTCACACAATCAATATGATTTCAGCTCTTGGCATCATGTGCTGAGGTTTACCTTTCATATCTTCCATCCTTCTCATTATGATGGTTCTTTTCTTATTTTTCTTTCTTGTTGTAAGTTTTATCCATCCTTGTTTTTATGATTTTGCTAAATTTATATTTACCAAAAAAAATATTTTAGTTACTAAATGTTGTGGTCCCCCTTTCTATGATTTTTTATTTTTGGGGTTTTGTTTATCTTTTTAAACTGTTCATCATTTGATTTGTTTCCTGACAGGGATACGGCTGGACAGGAAAGATTTAGAAGTCTTATTCCAAGCTACATTAGGGACTCATCTGTAGCTGTTATTGTATATGATGTGGCAAGTATGTCATTTGGGATTTGTTTTCTTTACATTTATTGTTATTATTATTATTATTATTATTGCCCTCTATTTTGTGCCATCTTACACAACTTTTGCCTCTGAATAATAGTTAATCTGATCAAAGCTTCTGATTTAGCTTTTTCATTGAAAAATTTTGATAGTAAACCTATGAACTTGACATTATTTTAAATACCGTGTGATGTTGTAGCAGGATATCATTCTTTTGTTTTGACCATTGCGAAGTTGCAGAATCAATCTGAGTCTTAGTGCATAACCTTTTATAGCAAACCATGGCATCCAAATTCCATTCATGATCTCTCTGTACATGATTTGAATGATGTATTGGCTTAAATATTTGTTAAGAGATATGTGAAGAATGCATTTTGATAAATTTGATGTTCTAAATGTATAGGCCGGCAGACTTTCCTAAACACAGCAAAGTGGATTGAAGAGGTGCGAACAGAGAGAGGCAGTGATGTCATTATTGTCCTTGTTGGGAACAAAACTGATCTTGTTGAAAAGAGGTAATGAGTAATGAAGAGAAGAATGATTTTAGGATATTATCAGATTGGTTAAATGGCTTATTTTTTGTTTTGGTTCTTTTCTATTCCCCCAATCCCCCTTTTTCTATATCTTCCCATTACTTGTTTGATATATGGATCAACTATTTACCACTGTACCCATAAGTCATATGGAAGAAATAAATTGTTGGTTCGGAGTAGGAAAAGTATGATGAATAGTCATTACATTTCTAATGAGGCATGATCACATAATGTGGGAATGAGATGTAGGAAAGCTTACAATTAGGTCTATCCTATGTATAGTAGTTTGTAGGAATTCTTACAGTGACTTGATGTATAAACAATCTCCATCTTTGCCTTATATTCCATGTAAATATATTATTTGCATGAAAGTTGAATAATAATCAAACATATTTCATAAATTCTCTGAGGAATCTTATTAGAAGTCTCGGGAGAGTAATTTAATTGTGAATGAAAGATTTTCAGCATCAAATGCCACCTGAAGATGTTTTATGGGAATAGTATGTGCTTTATATATAGTTGGGAAGATTTGCTAGTTGGTACATGCGAAAATTCATTTTTTTTGTTTTATCAACCATCTTTTTTGCTGAGTCTGCAGACAAGTCTCTATAGAGGAAGGGGAAGCTAAAGCACATGAGCTCAATGTCATGTTTATTGAAACTAGCGCTAAAGCTGGGTTTAATATAAAGGTAACTTGACTTCTCACTTTTTATCTTTCCATACGCATCTTCAGTAAGTTCTGTTTCCAACCAAAATGCAATGAATCAGACAAAATTATGATGATTGGAATCTGTATTTGGGCCTCGGAACATCGATGATCTACTTGTCAATTTCAGTTATTTTCCGGCCACTGGTGTTCTTTTACCTAGTTACCTTCAAATTGCTTGTGTTTATCAATTTTCTCTCAACCCAGATTCTTCTGCACCATCTTTTTCTTCTCTTTTGTGGAAATAACTTCTGAGATTCGTGATTAATTCTAATACTACTCTTGCTTGTCATTTACCATGTATTTCGCCATTGAAAATTTGTACAGGCCCTATTTCGAAAAATTGCTGCAGCATTACCTGGAATGGAAACACTATCTTCTGCAAAACAAGAAGACATGGTTGATGTAAACTTAAAGTCTTCAACTGGCAATGCTCAATCTCAACCTCAGTCTAGTGGATGTGCTTGTTGAATATGCTTTATCTTGTACTCGTGCACCTTTTGTGTTGTGCTTCTAGTTTTATGCAGTTTCTCTACAGTCTCTTACAGAATTATATGAAAGATCAAAGAATATATAAGCGGTGCGGCGTAGGGGTTGATAGTTCTGTCTAGAAAAATTCTGTTGCTAGTTGGTTATGATTGCGATAATGTACTAATGTAGTAAAGTTGCCCAAGTTAACATTGAATTGTGTTCATTGTACACTATAAAACGTGTGATAAGTTTAAAATCTTTCTCGTTCATTGAGTTCATTGTCATTGGTGCTTTTATCCAGTAGGATTTGGGTGTCATCTCCTTCGTAGCACTTTCTCTTTCCCCCAAAAAGTAATTTTTTTCTTGTACATGTGGATTGCCTTTATTGGAAACATTCGCTGCCACGATTATTCTGCCAACACTTTCCAACCATATGTCCGCAAATAATAATAATAATGATAATAATAATAATGTTGATGATGACTTTATACTATTCTTTGTGATTTTAAATCTGTTCTTCGTTCTTGTTTGGCTTTAATCTTGACAATTCTCGGAACAAGGGCAGTGCCCGATGACAAATTGACCAAACCGGCTAAGTATATGCCAACACCCCACCGTCTTAAGTAACGGCTTATGCTCAACTTCTCTTCGGGTGATTCCGGTGTGAAGGGTGGCATGGATTGATGCGACCAACACAGCGACACATTTTTAACCATAGAGAAATTATTTAGTAAAAGTCTTGATAACTTTGGCTTGGCTTGCTTGAAAGGGTGTTTGGAACTATACTATGATGCAACATGGACATCAGGATCTTTCTTGTCTGGAAACGAAGTTCAATTGTTGAAATTAGTGACAACATGCCACGTAGAAGACAAGAAACGGATCTCTAACCATTACGTGATATCGTTCTTTTCATCATCCTATCTTCCTTTACAATACCATGCCTAATTAACTCACGCTGAAAGGTTACGTAGTTTAGAGTTTTCAAACAGAAAAGAAAGAAAACTTAAGAGAGGGAGGGACCGAAGATCTATACTAGTCCTTTGCTAATTCACCTTTTAATCTTGATAATATCCTTTACACTATTTACCGTGTGGGAAAAAAAGTTGAACAGGAGCGATTTTTATTACAAACTAGGCGATCATATTGTCTGAGTGACAGCTCAGCCTAATTGAATCCATTACTACATTTATTTGTTTATATTCCAAGGTAAAGAAAGAACAAAAACACAACTCACTAAGATTGAAATCCACGTAGTCTAAAAATGGCTATATAAAAATGAAATAGAAATTTTTTTAGTAGTCCTCCCCAAAAAAAGTAAATTTTGGTTAAATTATACTAACAAAAACAAATTATGCATGATTGAGCGAAAGGAGGAAATCTGAATGAGAAGCGGCGTTTTGTTGAGTCGGGGTGTGTTAGGCATCAGTGAAAATGGCGCCAGTGTCAGCTCTTGCAAAGTACAAGCTGGTGTTCTTGGGTGATCAGTCTGTGGGCAAAACCAGCATCATCACGCGCTTCATGTATGATAAATTTGACAACACTTATCAGGTTCTTCTCATCGTCAGATCCACTTTCTCAGGCAGTTTTATGTTTCAATGTGTTTGTTTTCATCAGAAAATTTGTTAAAAAATTGACAACAAATGCCGACCATTATATTGATGATCTGAATCATATCACGTCTTTTTGGTTATTAAAGTAGGTTTAACAGATCACGTTTTTCCTGTGGAATAATGGGTTTTTCAATATAGTGATCATAATTAGCAATTAAAATATTTAAACATTATGTGTTTCAGTGTGATCCAGTTTTTCAACTTTATTATAATATAATATACAGATTAAACTTGCTGAGCATATTTGAATCTTAGTTACTTAAGGCATTTTCATTTATTGTTTCGTTATTTGTGTATATGCACGTCTTCTCAATAAGGTTATCATTCAACTAGGTTATTCTATACGCATAATGTACTAGAGTTTTTTTTGTACCATGAGCATTTTTAAAGTGGATTATACATTTGACCTTTTGCTTGTACTTAAACTTATTATTATTATTTTTTCAAACAGGCTACAATTGGTATTGATTTTCTATCAAAAACCATGTATCTTGAAGATCGAACTGTTCGGCTGCAGTTGTGGTAAGATTTTGCATGTTGGAAACTCCATCAGGAAAGGAAATAATGGTATTAGGGAAGAAAATAGAAGGGAAAGGAGGGGTGGAGTTGCTTCCCTCCCATTGTTTGGTTGTTTATTTATTTTAAATGAGAGAGGGAAAAGGAGTGTCAATGCTATTTCCATAACAATCTAATTTTGGAATACTAAATTTTGATATCTTGCAAATTTTTTGGTGAACAAAATTTATTCCATTTTGGCAATATCTGAAGGATGTAACAATTGCCTATTGAGAAGATACGGGATGATATTGGGTATCCTTGATGCCCTCCCCTCTTAAAAAACTTCCTTTGCAAGTGAGGGAGCATAGTTGCATACACTAATCTATAAATGTGTCATAGTTTAGTTTATGTTTATCTTCCATTTGATTCATTTTTGTTTTTGTATATTTCAAAGATTTGTCTGGTCTTTGAGTGCATTTAAATGTTATATTTTATGAATGCTAATGTTGAAGTTCTTTAATTTGAATATTCTTAATTATTCCGCATTCATGTGTTCATTTGTACTTTGATTTAGCATAAAATTGAGTTTTTGAATTTTTTTGGTCTTAGACCCCAAGTATCCAATGGTCGCTTTGGACACCAACTAATTTGAGTCAGGTTCGGAAGACTCACTTAAGGGGGCAAAGCCTTCTTCTTGGTACCTTTTTTTTTTCCCCCCCTCAATACACAAGGTTTAAACCTAAGACCTTGCTTAAGGAGAACCAAAACCTGTTCTTCTTGGACCAATAGCATTGGTTAAACGATATTTTGAAGCTGTGATTTTAATGCTAAACATGATGCTACTAGTACTCAAGTATCTACAAACCTGCAAATTTGGTGCTTATTATAATTGTAGTTATTATGGATAATATGCTTATCTCTTATCCCTATAATTTAGGATTTATATTTTATTAGGAGTTTGAATTGTCATAAGATTTCAACATAAATTCTTAGGGGCTGAGAGGACTCTCTCAGGAAGTTCAAAGTATTCTAAAGAATTTTAGCATCACTATTTATATGTTGTTTAGATTTATTCCATACTTCAAGGGTAAAAGATTTCTGCAAATTGATTAATCAGAGTGAGGCCCATAAAGTTTGATTTTGATGTGTTTAATTGCTTTTTTAGGCTACATATATTAGTATTACATGATTCCTTCATCGTTTAATATTTTTTTAATCTTTTTCCCCACACGAAACCCTTATTTTTTCTTCATGTGTGTGACATGTGGCAACAGGGATACAGCTGGACAGGAAAGGTTTAGAAGTCTTATTCCAAGCTACATTAGAGACTCGTCTGTTGCTGTCATTGTTTATGATATTGCAAGTATGCCATTTAGGATGTTTCCTTTCACATATTCCTTTCTTTCTGCTGCTTTTGTGTTTATAATAGTTGAGTAGAGTTTCTCAGGGGAGTATATTGCTTTGGATAGAAGCAAAATTTTCATTTTCCACATCCTGGGAAGCAGAATACCTCCCCGCCTGATTTCTTTTTCTGAGTGTACAATATGGCAGAGTGAACATCAGGAACAAAACATGTTCCTAAGCGTCTGGAGACTTACCTGTGTCAATTAACTGAAACATTGTGAAGAACTAGAGCTTTCTCTAGAACTAGAATTAACTTTCTTCAACAGCTGCAGCCTATTATCTGCAATCACCTTCTTGGATCTCTCTGGATGATTTCAATCATCTGTGCATAGTTTTTTGGGCATTTTCCAGAAGACCTTGAAGGTTGCATTCTATTTATTCAAATTTTCTTATGAAATAGGTCGTCAAACTTTCCTAAACACGCCAAAGTGGATTGAAGAGGTGCGCAGTGAGCGAGGCAGTGATGTTATTATTGTTCTTGTCGGGAACAAAACTGACCTTGTGGATAAGAGGTAATGATGGTAGAATGACTTCATCAGATGGCTTATTCTGGCCTGTTTCATAGCATGGTTTTTTTTGTTTTCTATTGAGTAATATCTCTTTGATTTTGATTAATTATTACTTCATCACTTTTATGGCATTTTTAGTCTTTTCCTTTCTTCAATATATTTATGATCAGATATGTATGCATACGAGAAAGATTGACCAGGGGAAATATGGAAAAGGGACAGTAAAAACTACTATTAACATATTTTATCCAAAATGACATTCTGTCCTTTCAGTGTGATTGCTTAAATTGCCTGGAAAGCTTGTTAAAATTTGTTTTTCTTTTTAAATAGCGGAACACAAGTTATAATATAAATGTTGTTTCCTCATATAGTGAACTTAAAAAATGCTTCATTCTCCTAATCCTTAACCAGTTCTCTAAGAATACTGCTTACATTTTAAAAAACACGCTGGTACTTTGTTACTATTCTATACAAGTTGAAGCCTTAGGAGTTAGGAATCAGAAGAGCCCTATATCATTTGATTGTCCTATGAAAGTGAGAGCTAGATTTGCTCCTAGGATTTTGTTGCTTGAGTTGTTTGGCCCATTAGATGTTCCATATGCGCTTTACCATGTTGTTTTGATATCTTGTAGAAGTGTTCTTTTAAATTTCCATTCAGCTGTTCATTTCTGGGGTTGCCTTTTATTTACAAGCAATATTCTTTTCACGAGTCTATAGGCAAGTCTCTACAGAGGAAGCGGAAGCTACATCTCATGAATTAAACGTCATGTTTATTGAAGCTAGTGCCAAAGCTGGATTTAATATAAAGGCAAGTCTCAGCCTTCTTTTTCTATAACTATACAATAACTTGCTTGTTTATCATCAGCCTGAAGTGATTAAGAGCAATGCTATTCTCATTGAGCCTTGCGTTGCATGTACTTTTTCTTTCTGATTAACCTAGGAAGAATAGTTGGATAAAATATTATTAACGATGTAGCTCTTGCACGGACTTGGGAGAGATATTGGAAATGAATCAAATGTGGGATGGTAGATCACATCCATATAAACTACTGTGATAGGTGTAATTTCCTAATGAGATGTTGCCGATTACGATAAGTGATAACAGTTGGTTGTTTCTACTAGTTAACTTAAACTTTTCCAAAATTTAGCTTACTCTATGTTGAAGATCTACTTGTTGCAGTTGAGATGGCTTTCAGAAGGCCAACTGTTTCAGTTACTGGATTACCTTCATTTGCTTGCGTGATTTTAATCATTGAATGGTTTTTGACTCTATTGTTATGGCAAACCTATATTTAGGCCCTCTTTCGAAAAATTGCTGGTGCATTACCTGGAATGGAAACACTATCTTCCACAAAACAAGAAGATATGGTTGACGTGAACCTAAGATCTTCTGGGGGCCATGATTCTCAACCTCAGTCGGATGGATGTGCCTGCTGAATGTGCCTTATCATAAAGTTTTGTATCTTTCTGCTTCATGCTATTCGTTCTTTTGAATGTTACGTGTCTCAAATCTGTAAAGGTTCATTTGTGTTTTAGACTTTTAATAGCATTCTATGAGAAAAATTAGAGAAAACAATTGGAAGAACTGATATTGATACAGTTGGTTGGTTGTTTAGCTGGCTATTAATTATTATTTTATTATATTTAAAATATGAACATTGACAAATTCACTTTGTCCAACATGATTGTTTAAAGCTTGCTAGAGATATCCATAAATGCATCTGAGGATGCAATCATGCAATACACATTCACAAGCTATCGAATAAGTCATTTGAATTAAATGATCTAATATCCGATCAAATTATACGCATATTAGATATTTCTTCCAGAATCATTTGAGCTTGTTCGAAAGAGAAGAATGGAAATCCAAAGGAATTTCGGTATAAATTTAACTTTTATAATAAAAGTTGTCTCCCAATAATTTTTCACAAACTCTCTTTACAGAGGTTAATTCTCAAGGTTTTGATACCCTATTTTGTCTCTCAAAAATGATATTGAGATGTATTTCTGCAATTGTTAACAATAAATTGCGTTAGATTGTTTTTTTGTTGTTTCAATTTATTAAATCAATATTATATTAAATAGTAGTTTTTATATTTTAAGAAAAATTTAATTTTTTATTCAAATTTGTTATAATTTTTCGGTTATATAATTACTTTATGTTTTTTTAAGTTATTATAAATGTGCTATTGCTATTCAATAAAGTTGAGTTTTTCTCATTCATTATTTTCACAATTTTGCACATTTTTTAAAAATTTTTTGTGCCATAAAAAACCAACATCAATGACCACGTTTCTGTCTGGTCTACAAATGATATGGTAAGTCTAGTGTCTGGGTATCAAATGAATGCTGGATGGAAAAATTAGTGAACTGTCAAACGTTGTGATTTTATTTTTGGAGATTTAAAAATCAAATAATTACTTCAATACAACGGAATTGGGTGATATGCAAAGCATGTGTTGCCCATAGTATGCCATCACTACTTATTAGGGAAACAAAACATCATATGACATGGTCATGGCATGTTATTGCTAATGAATTAGTTTTGGTGTTTCTCTATAGGTTCACTTGTACCCCTGAGTCGTATGTTTCCCCAGCCTTCCAGTCTTCAGGTATGTTATTGACAGGAACAACCCACGTTTCTTCTCCCTCGTCTTCATCACTAAATAGCATCCTTACAGACAAAGGTCCACTTGGTGGAGAGGTAGTAGTCCAGACTGCTCCATGGCTACGATCCAGTAACTTGCAGACAAAGTTTTGAGTCTGCACACAGTATAGAGATTACGGTCATTGCTGATGTACTACCAACTTTGTTATGTTCCATGCTTTTCACCTAACTAAAATTGTGCTATAATTCAATTGAGTTAAGCTAAATGGTAAATCCAAAATTTTTAAACAAATTTCCATATTTTTAAATTTGAATTAAATCACTGAACTTAAATAATTTGTTTTGGATTTGTATGAGAAGATTTTTAATTGTTTTTTAAATATATCGCTACTCTTCTAAAGTTTGTAATCCAGATAAAGAATATTTTGTCTAACTTTGACAGAATTCTTTATAAATAATTTATAAGGTTAGAGACTCAATTACAAAATTTTTATATCTGAAAAATTATTTAAAAAATTCTTAAAGAAATTGAACCTAATGAATAATTCAACCATTCATTTGACATTGGAGCAGTTTCCAATTATTGATGAAGAGTTGAGTAATTAAGGATCTTTGTCCAATGATTTCAATTAAATAAGCAATTGTTATTTAATTAAAAATATGATTGTTTCATTACTGATGAATAAGATATATTTAATACTCAAGTTTTAACTACATGCTTCTTACTAAATTTATTTGATTAAAAAATGGAGTTAATTGGGTTCAAAGATTTAATAAAATTGCAACTCAATCATCAGAAGGCAAGGAATTAGCAGATAGTACCTCACAGAGCTGCACAGCAGTTATGTCTCTCCTTCCTTGTTGATACAAAATGACAAAAGCCAAGTAATGGGGGTTGTTGCTGCTGTCATCTATCTTGAATGTTATGTTTTTATACGGATAGCTGCATGCAACACTGAAGAGAGATAGAAAGACAAAAGCCTTAGTTAAGTTATAAATTTATAAAATACATGCAGTTTTACGTGATATTAGAAAAGCTAAATATTGAAGCTGTGTGTTAAGGAAAGATCTTAACAGGTAGGCATAGGTTACAAATGTTGAGAAAATGTATCTCACCGTCTATATTCAATATCAACTACGCCAAGTGCTAATAGAGAAGAAGCTGCATCAGTGGTTTGAGCCATCCGGCCAAAGGCATGTTTGCTAAGAATAAAATCAGTGTGATCACTTGAGCCTTGGTCAGTTATAACTACGTTAACACCCTTGTCTGAGCAATACGCACTGTTGCTACACCTCACCTGTTCATTATGGCCAAACTATAATGTAAATCATATAATAAAAAACAACTTTTTGTACACCAAATTATTTGGGTATGGGTTAGTGATAGTGATCCACACCTCAAAGAATGTGAATTCTATAAAATCACTACCAAAACCCGAAAAAACTGGGTTAGATATCCGCCTGCTAGAGGTGGACATCCTTAACCGGATGTGTAAAAGAGAAAGCCCGAAGGCTCTTCCCGTCCCTGTCAGGGGAGATGCCAACCGTCTCTCCTTTTCATGAACACCTCGTACGGGCTCAAATCTAATTTTTAAAGAGAAAAATAATATGATATTGTTCGATGTGGGACTATAAGAGGGATCTTGAATTAGTTTTTTTACTGCCTAGAGCTACAATGTATAGCTTGGCACACTCATAAGTTTAATTTTTATGGCATTATTCTCTTCAAAAGTAACGTATTAATGCTTGCAAGATAGATTAGTTAGCAGTTGGGTACTCACCTGGTAACAGGCGCCACAACCAACCCCGTTTCGATAAAGATCAGATGCAGCTGATACATCCCCGCCATTGAACGTAGCACCAAAGGAACCAAACCCACACGCACCAACTACAATGAAATCAACAAGAACATATGAGAATGAGATAGCATGCATGTTTATAAATATCTTTTTCTTATTAGTTTAGTTTCTTGCCATCTGTCCCGTGTTCTTCAGAATTTGGATAATATGCTGCCCGAGAATGAATGAAACAATCGGTGCATGAAGTGTCTGCCAGAGTTTGCATGAAAATCAAGGTAGTAACAACAAGACGAAACAGAAGATAAAGCGCCATATAGGAAGGAAACAAGGAGAAAAATCAAATGATCAAGTGGAGATTAAGGACACTTTGGTGGTGCATGAAACGAACCACATTTCTACTATTTATAGAGAATTTGGTCAATTTACCAACTTTGACATTCAAAAAAGATAAAGAAAAAAATTTACATTCTGAAATATGAACGTGAGATGTACCATTGTTTCTCAGCTACCCGCTTAGACTACAAGAAATATTCTCGTCTATATGATGTTGAAAACCACTTTATGACCTTTCAAAACTGCAATACTTTCCGCCTTTGATATTTTAGTTGCCAAAATAGAAACGATATTTCCACATAAGTGGTGAAATCCTGGTATAGACTCGATTCACACAAGCGAATAAACTAACAAAATGATGATTCTTCGAGTGCCTTATTTTAAAATTTGAGAGGAAAATGCTTAAGCAATTCTATGCTATTCAAACTAATAGCATTAGCCAAAGCTAGAGATGTTTGACTGTGAGAGTTAATTGACCTTTGAACACCTAACAGGTGGGTTAAAACCAAAGATTCAATTGTTCTGAATGTGAGAATATTGCGTAATAGGAGAAAAGTTAGGTCCTTCAGCACTTTGATATAAACCTGCATGTAGGCATCTTCTAGTGTTCCCACTAGGACATGAAGCCATTACATAATGAGAGGATATGGAACTATGTAGAAAGTGCATAAGAAATATCAATCAACTTTAGATAATTTGTTTCAAGGTACATTACTTGGGAGTTGGGATCACAGTGAGCAGACTCTCGTTGAAGGAAAAGAAAATGACATTGCTGATGATCCTTTCCATGTGTTTCCATCCAACACCTAATTTGCAAGGTTATTTGAAGGAGAAACTAATTAATTCTTCTCATTATATGTTTTTTCTTACACTGGGATAATAATAATTATTATAGATTTCTACTATGTTTTATCTATAGTTTACAGAAAATAAAATAAAAAAAAACTGTTTTCTCAGGGTAAGAAAAAAAACTTCTTATAATATACAAATATTTAAGCTTCTATCTCCACTTTTATTTTTTTGGTCAAAGCATCTATCTCTACTTGAATGGTAATGTCATACTCATACATTGTGGGCCTTTATATCCTTTTATATAGAAGCCATCTTCTTTTAAATTCATGGCAACCAGTTCCTGCTGGTTGAGCGGCTAAGTTTTTACAATGTGGTGCAAGGAATTACCTTACAAATGCGACGGCAAAGTTTTATATAGAAAAAAAAAATTAACCATTGCCTACTATATACGTGTACCTTAATCAATAATTAATATATTTAAGTATTTTTCTCTAGAAAAATATTTTTTTAATATTGAATTAATTCTTATTGTAGGTAATATTGACTCACTCCATATATTGAAAAATTTCAAAAAGATGCATGTATAGTACCAACAAAGATTGGTATGAGAAATTCCTTCAACCACATCAACTATGACATGGAAACCACTCAAGGCTTTGGACCATGCGTGGCAGTCGTGATCAATTTGAGATGTTAATCAATGAGAATATTAATCTCTAAATTTTTTACTTGAATTGGTCCAATAATTGTCCCTATGCATAGTTCAAGTTCTTATATAATTTGAGGTAACATCTTCTCTGGCTTTACCCACTGAATGGTGATTGCTTTTAATACTAATCTTCCTTCAGGCATTTGATCTTTAAAAATTTAATACATTTTGTTTTTTTTTTTTGTCAGTGAATTTGATTTTACTCTTCCTTCGGGATTTGTGTTTCTAAAAACAAAGAGATGGTGTGATTAAATAAAAAAGAGTTGTATAAGCAATGAGAGAAAAAAAGAAACGTTTAGGAATATAAATATGTACTATATTTGGACATATTTCATTAAAAAAGTTTTTGCTCTTTTTCTCAGAAAAAAATATTTGCTTCTGGTTTCTGTTTTGAAAAATAGATATTTTTAATTCTCAAGCCCATCATTCTCTTTTTCCGGACTAGCTCAACATACGAGAAGCTCAATTGGGTTGGGCCTAACATGGCATAACCTTCCTATATATACACTAATTATATTGGACTTTGTTGATTATATATATATACATAGCATGACAACAGTCAACAATTAGAGTTAATGATAAATTTGGAACTGATTAATGGAAGCGGAGTGGAAAGTTCAAGGATATAGACAAAATGAGCTAGTGAATTCTTTTATTTTATATTGCATATTGTTAGTCTAAAGATTATAATATTAAAATAGTATTTGACGAGGGAATATTCTGGTTCCCATGTTTCAGCGAGAAAAAAGCGCAGCCATTCACCTTTGGACCCTATTGGGTTTGAAGCTTTAAGAAACAAACCCGTTCTTTGCTTACTGAAATAAATTAGAAGACCTTTAATCTTGCATAAACCCCCATTAAGATAATAAAACAATAAGTTTAAGCAATAATTTAGTCTTATAATTTTTATCCATTTGGATTTTAATTTTATAGTCATTTTTTAATATTAGTTTTAGATATTTATTTATTTGAATTCTTAATTCCAATGGTAGAGGCATGAATTCATTCAGTTTTTAACAAATATTTATAATTGTTATTCGTTAAGGTGGGGAAGCACATGGCATATCCGCCATATACTTTGATTCGTTTTGGCAGATTCGAATCCATGAACAATTGAACAAGTAACTCTCTCTCTCTCTCTCTCACACACACCCGCACAATCACATTGTTCTTTTGTTTCTTATTCTTTCTCTGTATTCCAATCCACACCCTTCAGCAACCATGACGGTTTCTTCTGATAATTGCGTCCAAAGGTAACGTTTTTGCTTCCACCATTTGCTGATTTTATTGCCATATCTTCGTCTTCCAATTTCAGATTTTCAACAATATCGTGTGTTATATCATGAACGTGCGATTGCAAAATTTCCCATTTTCTGCATCCATGTCTACCGCATATGTTTCGGAAACCTCGCTTGGTATTGAATCACCCATTACTCGGTCACAAGTAATTTTTATTTATTCTACTATTCTGTTCTGTTGCGATAGTATTGCACATGGATCAATCCTTTCTTACATATAAAATTATTTGATGGTTGAGATCATGATCGTATAAAACAGAGCGGTGAGGAGGATTCAGAGGTTGGATTTTATATCCAAAAATTAGATATTCTGATTGAGTATTTACCTTTTCTCTCATCTTGAATATTAATTTTCTTTTTATTGTTTATACTTTTTAACTACTAGGAAAAAACATGAATGTTGGATTTATCTTATACGTGCAAAGTGCCAACTACTATTAGCTAATTCATAATATATTTTTAAAAAACCCGATTCTATCAGTCTCTTTAGATAATTCATAATATATTATTGAAAATGTATTCAGTTAAGGATCAACGGTGAACTAACAACCGTGCCATTTATGACAAAGTACGTCCTGCTTCATGCTGTGTGTAAGTAGTAGTTTTGGAATTCACACAACTTATTATTCTAACCAGCCGAAAGTGTGTTGCTAAGTGGGGTCGATGTAATTACGAGATCAGTTACGTTGCCTTGGCATGAAGCAGAGTAGCAAATCTCCATGTAGTCTTGTGTGTTGTAAAGATTCAGTGTCTTGGAATCAAAGGTGGAAGCTAGAAATGCCACACACTTTTGTAGGTTAGTTTCCAAGCTATGATCAAGTGTCCGACTGAGCTTAACTTTTTGAAGAAGGGACGTAACTTGGATGCAGATTGGTGTTGGTCTCCACTCAAAATTTACATGTCATTTATGCAATCGCTACCAATTTTAATTACCGAGATGAAAGCAGAAGTTACTAAAATAAAATGTTGATTTTAATTGGACAACAATACTGACAGTGTCTATGATATTGTATCTAACTTCTATTCTCAAAGAAATATCCAATAATAAGTTACTAGCTTATCTTTGCGTTGGTTTACATGCCTTTGCTGTTACAGCTATGTGAATTAACTCTGAATGCCTAACCTAGTGAATGCATCGTGTGTGATATGTCAAATTCTTTCTCGTAATTCTCACATTACTGGTTTGTGGTTTAACTGATTAGCCACAGAGGGGCTGGCATACTTTTAGATGAGATATGGTGGTTTGCATTGTTAGACATAAAAACCATCTTGTGCTTTCATCGAACAGTTAACGATTTTGAGACAGCTGGTTCATCAATACGGTATTAAATTAAAGCCTCTGTAATCACGTCTTAGTCTGGAGTTCGATCCTTGTTACCCAAATTCTTCGCATAAGGGAAGGCAATTCTGCTGCGTATTATCTATGTTTTGAGTCAAAACGACTCTTGCGGGGACATGTTAGATGTTTAAACTCTTTATGTGCCTTACCCAACAGCTTATGTTTTCGGGATAGCTGGTCGCTTGGTTCCTGACATGTTTCGTGATATTAGTCTATAGGCATATCCAAATTTATCATTTGGTATACTTGTCACTCATTACCTTGGTGTTGTGCCAGCAGCAAGAGTTCTCTCACCAAACTTGCTCCACTTGAAGCAGTGCTCTTTGATATAGATGGAACACTTTGTGATTCTGATCCGCTCCACTACTATGCTTTCCGTGAAATGCTCCAAGAGGTAGTGTGCCTTTTCTACTGAAAGTTTTAAGGCAAAATATTAAAAAATAAATTATATATATATATATATATATATTTATATATATATTTTGTTGCAATATCCCTTTTATCGTATTTATAAATCACCATGACAAAGCAGATGATCAATAGCTATTAAAATGGAAACTTTGGTGGTTGTCAGATTGGCTTTAATGGAGGTGCTCCTATAACAGAGGAGTTTTTTATTGAGACTGTTGCTGGCAAGCACAATGATGATATTGCCTCGGCTCTCTTTCCTGGTGATCTGCAACGAGGTTTAAAATTTGTGGATGATAAGGAAGCCATGTTCCGAAGGTAAACCATGGTTACTTACTTTTATTTTGTGGGTTCATTTGATGCTTCATAATTCCCCAATGGACTATCCAGATTGGCAGCTGACCAACTGGAAGCTTTGAATGGGCTTGATAAAGTGAGGAAATGGATTGAAACTCATGGGTTGAAGCGAGCTGCAGTTACCAATGCTCCAAGAGCAAATGCAGAACTCATGATCTCAAAACTTGGTCTCTCAGATTTCTTTGATGCTGTTATTATTGGTGGTGAATGTGAACATGCCAAGCCTCATCCAGACCCGTACTTGAAAGCTCTTGAAGCTCTGAAGGCATCGAAGGATCATACATTTGTATTTGAGGTCAGCATTTTTTTTATGCTTTCTTAAAGAATAGTTTCCTCTGGATCTGCTTTTGACACAGCTTGTTTTGTTCTTTTGTCATAGGATTCTGTTTCTGGGATCAAAGCTGGAGTTGCAGCTGGGATGCCTGTTATTGGTTTAGCTACACGAAATCCAGAAAATTTATTGATGGAAGCAAAGCCTACTTTTCTGATTAAGGATTATGCTGATCCAAAATTGTGGGCTGCTTTGGAAGAACTTGACAAGGCTGGTCCTCGTTAAGTTTGGATTATTAATATGCTACTTAGAGAACTTCTTGATTAAAACAGTAGCAGGATTCATATTATTGAATTCACTGGTTCGCCCGCATAATTTTGTTGTAGGGGGCGACATTAATCAATGTTGCTTTGGTGCTAAGAGTAAAAAGTTGTACTATATTCTATTTGCATTATGTAATAATGTCATTATTGGCAATGAAAACGGTCAAGCAACAGAAATTACAATACGTAATTGTATTGTTGTTTTTACTTCATAAAAGTCATTAGAAAAGAAACTAAATGCTGCCACCTGCAAGTAATCTAAATTTTTATAGTTATCTATCGAAATTTTCTTCTAATTCACTCGCAATTCTTCCGATCTCAAACTCAAAACTGTATTGTGTGTTTGGTCCTACATGATCCGTCTCCCGTGAATGATATTGAGGTAGTTAGGCCTGATGGTGAATGGTGATCCGCATAAACTTCGATTGTGCTTTAAACCTATTTTCAATCGTATAGATTATCCTCCCTGTTTTTTCTTTTTTTAACGAGACATCTTCAATTAAAGTTTGTAGACCTTGATTATTCTTTTTATTAAGATTGATTTTTTTAAGTATTACATGTCAATTTTAACTTTATTTAATATTATTAAACTTAATTCATCTATCAACATTTTAATTTAAAAAAATAACTTTCCCTTAATGGCTTTAATATATTATTTTCACCAATTTAATTTATTTAAAAAATGAGAAATTTTTTTTGATGCTGTATAAAATTGTAAAATATCTTATGATAAATGTCATCATAATCATATTTGGTAAATATAATAATAAAAATATTAATATTGATACTTTATTCGTTTATTTGATATTCGATAAAAGATAAAAATATAAAATATAAAATTATTAATTTAATTTTTTAGAGTTGAGTTTTATTAATTTTATATTCAAAGCACGTTGGATTACACACCAATAAAAAAGTTTATTTTATTTTATGGAATTGTGATAATTTCAGTTCTTTATATTGAACTTAAACATTTAAAATAAAGATATTTTCTATTAAAAAATAATGCATGCATTATATTAAAATTATAAAAATATAAATAAATACTTTTCATTTTAATAAAATTTTATTATAATTAATTACTTATACTTATCTTTAAGAGTTGAATCAACATTTTTTATTTTTATCTTTCCTTCAAATAAATAAATAAAGTATTAATGTCACATTTTTTAAATAATTTTTACTGTATATTTATTTTTATAAAATATTTAAAATAAATTTTTTTGTAAGATTTTTTTTTTTATTTTTAAGATATAAAACTACGCTAAACATAAGTTTATTGGAAGATATAAATTTTTAATTTTTAATTTTTTTAAATTTTATTTAATGCGTCATTTATTTTTCTAAACAAGTTTATAATTTGTTTTTATATTATTTATAATAATACAAATTTAGTTTTTATAATTATTATTTATTTACAAATTAGTCTCTTTTATAACAGTAAAGATTAATATAATAATATTTACTCTCAGGAATTAAATTGTAACAATTTTTGTAAGCAAAAAAAAAAATTGTAATAATTTTTCTATATAGAAACCAAATTAAAGAAAGTGTCAAGTAATATATTTATTTACAAATTCTAATGTATTATTATCATAATAATTATAATAATTTAGAAATAATATAATTAAAAAATTGTTCTCAAGTATATTAAAATATATAGTTATAATTTAATTTTTTTAACCTATATTTTAAAGCCAACATAACTTTTCAAACTTCTTGTCCTGACATTTGGGTAGAGTCCCACTTCACGAACTACAGTGTTAGTATTGGATGTTACCAGTTTGAAACAAAACAACCCACGCAGAATTCTGTTTGGCATATTCTGGCAACATAACGTGGTTAGTAACTCTCTCTCTCTTTCTCATCTCTTCTCTTTTCTTTCTGTGTATACCACACTCTTCAGTTTCATTGACAATGACCAACTTGTTCTTGAGATTCAGATTCCCTAACGAGGTTCCGTGGCAGCTCAAATTTTGTCCTTCTCCGCAAACTCGCCACGTCAGCCTCAATAAAACATTCACCATCACCATGTCTTCTCAGAATTCGGTCCAAAGGTTCTTCCACCACTGTTTTCTTCAATTTGTCTCATCTTGTATGTTGCTACCACCCATCATTCATTAGAGCTTAGGTTATGCCTCTTTCATACAAATAAAAATATTTGATGGATTGATCAGTAAGTACCCCAAGTCCCCAACCCTTTTTGTTTTAAAACAAAATTTTGAGGTTGGATTTTCCACCCCACAATTAGATATCCTGTTTGAGTATTTACCTTTGATAATCTTGAAATTAAAAAAATGATTTTTTTTGGGTGATGTATTGATAATTTAGTATACAGGCAAATCCTGTTTTATCATTTGTTGGATACGTCACTCGTTACCTTCATGTGCATGCAGCATTAGTTCTCTTACCAAACTTGCTCCACTTGAAGCAGTGCTCTTTGATGTAGATGGAACCCTTTGTGATTCTGATCCTCTCCATTACTATGCTTTACGTGATATGCTACAAGAGGTAGTGCTTCTTTTCTTAGTAGAAGAGTTTCAAGGCAAAATATTTGGAAAATAATTATAACTTTTGGTGCAATATTCCTTTTATTTGTATTTACAAATCACCTTGGCTAAGCATATGATCAATAGCTATTAGAAAACTAACAAAAACTTGGGTAGTTGTTACTTGTCAGATTGGTTTTAATGGAGGTGCTCCAATAACAGAGGAATTTTTTATTGAGAATTTTACTGGCAAGCACAGTGTTGATACTGCCTTGGCTATCTTTCCTAATGATCTGGAACGAGGTTTAAAATTTGTAGATGATAAGGAAGCCATGTTCCGAAGGTAAACTCTGCTTTCTCTTTCTCTCTCTCAGTTCATTCAAAGCTTCATAACATAATTCGCTGATGGGCTATCCAGATTGGCGGCAGAACAGCTGAAGCCTTTGAATGGCCTCGATAAAGTGAGGAAATGGGTTGAAAATCATGGTCTAAAGCGAGCTGCAGTGACCAATGCTCCAAGACCAAATGCAGAACTCATGATCTCAAAATTTGGTCTCTCAGATTTCTTTGATGCTGTTATTATTGGCGACGATTGTGAACATGCCAAGCCTCATCCAGACCCGTACTTGAAAGCTCTTGAAGTTCTGAAGGCATCAAAAGATCACACATTTGTATTTGAGGTCTGCATTTTTTTTATACCTTCATGAAGAATAACTTGTTCTGGATTTTCTCTTGACACGGTTTTTGTTATATTTTGTTTTTCTTCATAGGATTCTGTTTCTGGGATCAAAGCTGGAGTTGCAGCTGGGATGCCTGTTATTGGTTTAGCTACACGAAATCCAGAACATATACTGATGGAAGCAAAGCCTGCTTTTCTGATTAAGGATTATGCTGATCCAAAATTGTGGGCTGCTCTAGAAGAACTTGACAAGGCGGGTGCACATTAAGTTTGAATTACTAGTTCAACTGACAGAATTTCTGAATAAAAACGAGCAAGTAAGGAAGATTTCATATTAAATTCACCGGTTTGCCTGCATAATTTTGTTGTGGGAACGATGTTATAATACCAGTTCAGGATCAAGGTTGCTTTGGAACTGATGGCAAATGGTTATATTCTATTTGCAATATATAGAAAAAACTGGAGTACAATTTAGATTTTTCAATCTTTTCATAATATTGTTTGTCAAATAATCATAAGCTTAATTTCAGTTTGGATAAACTTTTTTATAAGTATTCATAAAAGTAAAAAATTAAATATTAATATAAATTAAATTTCTTCCGTAAGTTAAAATTAACTTATACTTTTTTATTTTTAGAAGTTATTCTCATCTAACTTTTCTAAAACTTGAAAAAATAAATTAATTTTAACTTATGAAAAAAATATTTATTTTTTATATTTTTTTTCTTCTTTTATAAAGAATTCTTTATGAGTTCATTTAAATTTAGTTTTAAACAACTTCAGCTTTCTAAATTACCAAATTGTTCAGGAGGAAAGGGCCATGTAAAACCCCACTTTCGAAAGAAATTTTTTTTTTCCAACTTCAGCAGGGAATAGAAAGAAAAATAAACTTTTATTCTCCTAGATATCTTGTAAAATACATGAGATACTTGCTTGTCAATTAATAAACTATTGGCCCCTAAATAATGGCAAAATACAAAGTGGTGATCATATGTAACATGAATCATAAAATGAATGGGACATGGTGATTTAACACTTTCAAAACAAGTAGTTTCTTAGAGGGAAGAGGGAGTTATAATTGATGAAAAAATTAGTAGGTGAGATGAAGCGATAATACACGTAAGTCATGTATATGATTAATAAGTTGTCCTATCACAAGCATTTGGTAGCCATCTAAAGTTTACCCCGTGCAACGGTCTACTTTAGTTGAAAAATTTTCAGTGCTGTTTTGCTTATAAAGTTTTATTAATTTCAGTTCCTAGAGTTGAATTCAAACATTTACAAATACTAAATTTTTAATTTAAAAATATAGTTATTATATTAAAGTTATAAAAATATGGTGATTATTTTTTAAATAAAAAATATTTTTTATAGGTGTTTAAATTCAGTCTTCAAAGATAAGGTTAACATTTTATTTGCTGATAATATTAATGAGAAAGTCTTAGCGCAATGTTAAGGATGTTTTCTCCCGTGATTTAGTTGCAGGATCAGCATCTTTGTTTAAGAGGGTAAGACACCAAATATTTTACTTCTCTGATTTTTTATAATAATGGAAGTGGAACTGTGAAGCAGGTGCATTATGCTGTACTTCTCATTTCCAAGTAAGAAATTGTGAACTGTCCCCTTCACCAATGTCAAACTGTATTCAGGGGCCTTAACCTCATTTTCGTCCTCAAATTTGTAGCAACATTTCTTCTACTTGTGGTTCTAATCTATCTCCTGAATAAAAAACATGAACTCTACCCTTCACTAATATCCAACTACATCCGGGTGTTTTCCTCACACCCTTCATCCTCATCTCTTTTCTTAAGCTTGTCTCCTCAGTGTGTCTATCATTTGCGGCATATATGTTACAAAGGGCCACATGGCCTGGTGCATTTAAGGGATCCAACTCGAGCAGTCGTTTAGCTGCACGCCTAGCAACATCTGCATCGGTTTTACTCAACCCACAAACTCCAATCAGTGCCCCCCAAATGGCACGATTTGGTTCAACAGGTAGCCTCAAAACAAACTCCTCTGCATCCTTCACCTTCCCTGCTCGACCCAGAAGATTGATAATACTAATATAATGCTCTAGACCAGGTTGAATTGCATAAACATTAACCATGGCAGTAAATAACTCCCACCCTTTATCAACAAGACCTGCATGAGCACATGCTGTTAGGGCACCCAGGAAAGTAACGCCATCAGGATGAACTCCAAATTTAAGCATAGTTTCGTATAGCTTTAAAGCTTCATTGGCCCTCCCATGATCTGAAAGGCCCATGAGCATGGAGTTCCAAGAAACTTTGTCCCGGTAAGTCATGTTAAAAAACATCCTATATGCATCGTCTATCTCCCCACATTTTGCATACATTGAAATTAGAGAGTTTTCAAGAATCAAATCATTTTCATGCACTGTCTTTAACTGCAAACCATGTAACTGTCGCCCCTGATCAAGATATGCAACCGAACCCATGGCTCCAAAAAGAACACTATATGTAGAATTCATAGGAGAAACACCATGAGCTATCATTTCAGCAAATAAGCTGATGGCTTCAGCAATCAGCTCATTTTGGACATACCCATAAATCATTGAAGTCCATGCAATGGAATCCCTATCAGGCATGTTATTAAACAGATTTTGCGCCTTCAGAACTTGCCCAGCACTAAGATAGCCAGCAATCATGCAAGTCCATGCAATTTTATTTGGGACAGGCACCATGTCAAACAACTCTTGAGCCTTTTCTAACCGACCTGCCTGAACATAACCATTGATCATAGAATTGAAAGATTTTTCATCGCAGTTACTCACATTACCATCAAACACATTGTGTGCAGAGTCCATAAGACCGAACACAGAGTACATCCTAACAAGACTTCTACGCAACCTACCATCATAATCATCAAGCTCCCAGCTGTTAACCATCAGCTGTGCATGTAACTGCTTGCCAAGGCAAGGAAAACCCAAACCAGCACATGCATAAACAAGAGAAATAAAGGTCTCCAAATTGGGTTTTGCATCTGAAAGCGTTCTCATCTGAAGAAAAAGCAACAATGCCTCTTCACAGAAGCCATTCCAGGCAAACCCCCCAATCATAGCAGTCCAAGAAACAACATTGTTCTCCGGCATAACCCGAAACAAACAATAAGCCCCATCCACATCGCCTGCATGGCAATAACCAGATATCATGCTAGTCCAAGTAACCACATTCCTAAATTCCATCTTGTAAAACAAGGCTCTTGCTTCATCCATTCTACCATTTTCAGCATAACCCGCAATCATAGCATTCCAAGAAACCACATCTTTACAAGGAATCTGTTCAAAAACCATCCTCGCTTCCTCCAAATCCCCATTCCTAATCAGCGCTGCCACCATCGAGTTCCACGAAACGACATTCTTCTCCGGCATTACATCAAACAACTTCCGAGCATCATCAATCCTCCCCGCCTCCGGATATCCACTAAGCATAGCGGTCCAAGAAACGACGTTCCTCTCCGGCATGGACTCGAAGAACCGGGAAGCCTCATGAAACATGCCGGAGCGAAGGTACCCCGACAACATTGCGTTGCAAGTGACGATATTTCTGTGGGGCATTATGTCGAACAGTGTTTGAGCTTCGGCTACGTAACCCTGTCGGGAGAAGTGGGTGAGCAACGAGGTCCAGCGAACAATGCGGGCATGGAGGTTTCCTTCTGAAGAATTTTGAAGGAGCTTTCGGGCTTCGTGATGCCACCCATTGGTAAGATAGTGAAGGAGCAGAGAGTCGTCGCATTCGGGTTTTCTCCGAAAGGGCAATCCAGGTTTCGAGGGTTTGGAATGATTGGTGCGACAGTGATACTGATACTTGAGAGTGGAAGAGACGATGGAAAATGAAGACTTCAAGATCGAAGTAGAGGCACGCATCAACCGCAGAAAGATTGATGAACGGTGAAGAAGCATGGCCCAGACACGACGGGCGGTTTCTCATTTAGATAGAATTATTTTTGTTGACCAGAAATAAAAAAAACATTATTTATTTTTATTTGAAAATTTTTAAAAATTAACTTATAGGCTTAAATTATTTTAAAAAAACTTATTTAAGATAAACAAAATTTTTAAGATTTATACATATAACTTCATATCTCTTTTTGCAATTTCAACCTAAAATTTTATTCAATTCAAAGGCAAAAAGTATTTTAAAATCACTTTTTATCTAACATCCAGATACAAAATTTTATATTACTAATTATCAAAATAATTGATTATAGACATAATAAATTATTAAAACAATTTATTTTTTTGAAGCTAAACCAAACGCACGCTAATAATTGTGCTATAAAATTATTAACACGGGGTACGGTACCATACGCAAGTTCCCATAATTTTCTTTATTTAATAAGCATATGGTTTTATTGGATATATGATGGTTTGGTTTGTGGATCCATCCTGCTTGAGGTAATTGTTACCGCAATGTTAAGATGTTAATATACAAAGGTAAATTTGAATAGGAGTAGAACACAGACCCACCGTCTTAAAAATAAAACGCAGGAGAAATTTTATTGAAAAATCTCAATGGTTAGATAACTTTCAAAGCCAAGTTCATTCAATTGTGATTAATCCTGTCAACTTGAAATTAAGAGCAAAACACAGAAGGTGAAGGTAAAAGGTTCGTCAGGAGTTGTTTCACCCTAAGAATTCATCCACAAGTTTAGCCACGGAGTTGGCTAGTGTATTTGCTGCTTCCTGTGCGGATGCCTCGGCATATACACGAACAACATCCTCGGTGCCAGATGGTCGCACAAAACATCGACCTTGAGGGTACTTAGCTGCAAACACAGAAGAGAAGAGTATCAAGCTGCAACACTAGTAAACTGAAATTTTGCATTTTAATCTTCTCACCAAAAGGCATTAGTGGATGGATGAAACTGACTAATATTGGCCTCAGGCAAATTTGCCAAGCCACTTGGACTTCCTAACATCATTAATATAATGCATTAACAATGAGGCATCAGTTTTTCAAGAAATGTCTATAGTAGAATTCGTTTTCTGTATTTTTATTTTGGCCTCCATGCCTCCTACCTGACCCACACATTCTTCCTTTTTTGGGTAAAATGAAATAATAGTTCGTTGTTGGTTTCACAGATAAAAGCAAGCAACGAACGCTGAAACTAAAAATAATGCTGATGCCATGACTAAAACAATGCAACCTATATGCATATATGAAATCAAACCTCAAACAAATCTTGCAAATTAGCATGGAGAAATGTCACTAGCCTCCCCATTTAATCGGTGGGAGAGAAGCGCAACTGGCCTAGCCTTAATGTCAGGAGTGGCGCCATACTAATGTTTCTACATCTTTCTTTTCACCAATCCTAGAAACTTATCGTCATCAATGTGAAAGTTGGTAAAACACGTTGGTAACAAGCAAACATATCATGGCAACAAAGGGAAAGGGCAAAGAAGATACCAGTTTTATCATTGATGGCTTCTTGTAGACCAGGAGGGCTCACAACAACAGTTTCTGCATTTGTTGTAATCACAGCAGTTCTGTCAGCAACTTTAACCTGACAGTTGAGAAAAACCAAAGCAAGCATTCATTTCAGAATTGCAATAAGTATTAAGTATAAATAAATAAATTGACACAAGTGATAGTCACTTGTAAAACAGAAGGGAGGAAAGAGAAATATTTATATTGAATAATAACTTCACAACCAAGGTGAAATGTGAAATTTGGGTTAAAATCATAGTCAACGATTGCAAATGTTAGCAGATGAGACAGAAAATGAAATGAAGGCAGAATTGAACTTAATCCATGTTAAAACAAAGATGCTCAAGCTAGCTACATTTGAATTGAACAGTTTATTAACATAATTTAAATTATGATTAACATTTGGTCCACAATATTATACAAATAAAATATTTTAAATAGGAAAATATCTGGAGCACATTTTTGTCTTCTGACTACATTGCAAAAATTCTAGTACCAGGAAAGACAAAATCATATTAACAATTGACCTTGAGCTGCCTGCTAGGTAAATCATGATAAAGTTCATTCCATCTTTGTATTGACCATCCCATGTGTTGTAATATGACTTCCACCAAAAGCAATCCACTCAAAGCATCTCCAACTGCTTGGTTGATCAACTTACTAACTGCCAATAATCTCAAAGCAGCCTTTTCCCCTTCTGAACCTTCAACAAACAATCAGAACAATACTGGTTGTGCTGCAGTTGAAATCTTATAACTGAAGTGAAAATAGTCACAAACTACCGAATAAACCTGTGGATCCTGAAGAAATCTTGTTAGTTCTGGCCTCTAACCATTCAATGAAAGGTTCTGAAAATAAGACAGTTCCATGGCCGTTTGCCTCAAAATAGATGCCAATATCAAATTCAGCAGCTTTTTCATGCAGGTATTTCACTCCAGTTGGTGTAAAATTTACTTCCAGTCCCAGCTGTTTAAGGTAATTAGTAGATGCGCCATTTGCATAAGCAGTCTGTACAACACCAAGACGGGCTTGGCGGCAATTTTGCATGTCTTCCTTCTCATTAAGAAAGCTCAGTTGCTCCTTAATAAACAAAGCAAACAGGGATAATATCTTGTCCCCATCAACAAGGTCAATCATACCACTGCTTTCAGGTGGTACAATAAAATAGACAAGCCTATCAGCATCTCCATCCAAACTAGCACACCTACAAACTAGAACTAGCTCCATCAGTAAAGACCATAATAAATAACACCAATATAGAAATGCTAAAAGAATGTTATCCAGCTTTCAACCAGATCTTTCTGCAACTTTCCCTAACTCATCCACATTGTAGACACCCACAGCAGAAAAAATAAAAATCAGATGACTTGCAGTCCAGAAACCTAGTCTTTTTAAGTTGAGTGGTTTTTGTTCATTTTTAAAAGCAAATTATTTCAAGGATTATGTTAATAACCATCAGTTTGTGGTTACAAAAAGATAATCTCAGCGGTTTTATTGGAGAGCTACAGGGATGCAGATAAACACTCAGTAAATTCGTTAATATTAGTACAGAAATTTCAAGCAGCAAACTTGTGCCAACTTGACATTTAGCATATGATCAGCATACTAACCTTATCCCAGCATCTTTAGAACCAAAGCCATGTGAAACAACCTTCTCTTTCTGCACATAATCAGCACCAACTCCATCATTCAGTATGCCTCCATCTTCGCCGCTATTCCGAACCTCAATAACCAAAGCTTTCAACACCTTCTCTAAGACTTTAAGTTTGATTCCACCAACGCCATTAGCTCCATCCACAACCAATTTATCATTCACCCCATCGAACTTCCTTCTTTCAGGTGGAATCAAATCCATCAAGCACCTGATCCAATCACATAAAGATCCTAAAAGGATGGGCTCAGTCATGATTTTAATATCAACAAAAGAACGAAACAACATGAACCTATGTCCATATACCATAACAAAATATGGACCAGAATGGACTAACCTGAAAGAGATTGAAAGCTGTTCAAAGTAACCCTGCTCTGAGGCTTCCATGCCCTTATTTCTAGCGCGAACCATCCAATGTAGCTGAGGAGTTGTCAAAATCCCCATGTCCGTCGCAACAGCTCCAACAATTGAAGTGACCCCCTTCATTGTCATCCAATTATATGCGATTAAAATTGGCTAAATACATAAAAGATTATACAAACTCACTATTATTCACAACTCTCATACTTGTCTAGCAGCTTCAAGCAAAGCATCTCCACTTGGCCTCGTGTCTCTCCCCAAAAGTACTTCGGCATGCCTCACCCCATCCATTGGAATCCTCTCTTTCTCCACAAATTCATTTATCAACTGTCCTTAACACATAACCACATTCATTGGGAATTATTTATGAGCATTGCATTTACAACATCAATGGTTTAAAAAATAATCACATGATTTGAACAAAAAGGGTAACGGACCAGGATGAGTTGTTGAGGAGAAGAAGCATTGGCGAGGGCGTCGGCGAAGGGTTCCCACTGCTGAGAGAGCATGCCACCGTTAGGATCAGCGATTTTGACTCCATTGTCGGAGACTTTGTTGTGTGAGGCGGTAATCATGACGCCGATGACGGAGTGAGTTTTGAGCGATCTGAGAGCAGCGAGAATTCCCACTCTGAAGACCGTTGAATGGAGAAGCGAAGCATCAGCCCTGAAGCCAGCCGTTCCGTACGATAGCTTCACTCCTGGAACTACACATCCAAACCTAAACATTATCGTGATATTACTATGAATATAAATTGAAGATAGGAAGAGCGAGAGAACCTTGAGGGGTCAAGAAGCGAGAAGATGAGTTGAGAAGCAGAGAGTGTTGTTCTTTGTTCATGGCAGAATAAGAGATTCAGATTTCTACTTCTACTTGTTAGATCTTCGGAATGCCACCATCCTTACATGTTTATCCAGGGTAGAATCACTTAGTAATGGATTAAATTGTCAATTGGTCATGTCATTGTAAAATTCAGTAACGTGTCATTTTAATTAATATATCTATTAATTTAAAACTCAAAACTATAAATACCAATCAATTTGATTTTTAAAATTATAAATACGATTTTTTAATCCTTATAATTAATAAAAAAATATTTTTTTTAAATTTAAGTACTTTTTAATTTAGTAACTCAACTTATTAAACCCAAGTTTTAGTCTCTAAAACTATTATAAATTGATTATTTAATCTTGAAATTATAATATTTATCATAAAATTTTAAAAAGTGTTAAAGATTTTTTTTTTCAATAAAAAACAAAAAATATTTGTTATCATAAATTTTTAAAAAATAATTTTTTATTTTTATTTTTAGTATAATGCATAATAAGTTTTACCTAAACTTATTTGTTTTAAAATTAAATTAACAAACAAAATTTATTTTTTTATTTTAAATAAATTTTTAAAATTGTTTTAAAATACAATTTTTTAAAATTAAAAACAAAAACAAACGAAAAGAAAATGTTCTCATTCTTTCTATCTTCAATCTCTATTCTTAGATAATCATTTTTTCTGTTAATATCGGTTAAATTTGTTTGACAATATGTTAAATATATTAAGAGTCAATGTAGTGTCTACTTAATTATCTGTGTTATTAATGAAATAATTTTGATTTATGAAAAAATAAAATAAAGAATGTCTTGCTTGAATGTTTTCTTTTTCTTCTACTTCAATTTCAATAAAAATAAAATTGTATATAAAACTATTATTTTCTTAACTATTTATTCATTTTTTATGATAGATAAAGCGATATTATAAAATTTGTACGTTTAATATGTAACTTTAACATTCAATTTGTCACATCAAATATGTTATTAGATAAATTTAATAATAATTAATAAAATAAATTTAAATATTGATTTTAAATAATTTAAAGAGTTTTTTTCATAATTTTAGCGACTGATAAATATTTATAATTTTAAAGACTAAAATAAATAATTTTTAATCAATTAAATAACTTTTTTTACAGTTTCAAAAGCAAAAATGTTCAATTTTTAATAAAATTATCGTTTTTTAAAAATCAAATTAACCGATGCTTATGAATAAATTGATATATTTCTTTTATAAAATTATAAGTATTGAGAAAGGTTAACAATACAGTTTTAATATTTTTATTATTATTAATTTTTTAAAATTTATAAAATTACGAGTAAAATATATTGAATTAAAAAAGAAATATATATAATTTTATAATATTTAACAAATTTCAATGAATACCAGAAATTATATTAAAAAATATATTATTAGCATTTTTCTTTATAATTTATACGAGCAATATTTACTGTTGGTATCTTGGACTAGTATATTATCTTGTCATCCTAAAATTTCATTCGACCCAAAATAATTGGATTCATTTTAAATTAATTAGAAAAATGAAATGACTGAAAGGGCAATGAAGTAATTTGAGTTAGGCTTCCATAATGATATCTTAAAATCCCTAGCTTAGCATCAAAATTGATTCCTTCAGAGAGTAAAACAGAACCAAACCTTACCTATTTTACCAAGCATGGGTCTACTGTGGTGGCGAAAGGGGAAGAAGTCCGAACCCGAACCCGAAGCAAAGCCGTCGTCAATTCCGAAGTCGAATGGCACAGACACAGCCAAAAACCCCACCGAGGCCCCAGGGATGAACGGCGCTATGGAGGTTCCGCGACCCACGAACGCTTCCGTTTCCATTTTCGAGTTCGGCTCCGTCGCCGCTTCCAACGACAAGGTCACCCTCGCCGGCTATTGCTCTGTCTCCGAAGACCTCGAGCCCTGCCGCTGGGAGATCATCACTGCCACTCAGTCCGACGCGCCGCAGTTTCGCGTCGTCTTCTGACCCCCAATTTCTCATTCCACACTCTCCTTTCTTTTCCCAACTCTCACTCTCAAATGATTATATTTATCTGCTTTTTGCTATGAAACTTCGACTTCAACTCTAAATTGGCCTTTTTCTGATTTATATGTCTTTTCTGTTTTCTGATTGACGCGCGGAGACAGTGGACATGTTAGCTAAGTTAATGTTAGTTCTGAGGTTTATATTTGCTATTTCTGTTCTGTTGCATTTTACTCTGTTTATTCGTATTATCTGCTTCATTTGGTTATACACGTGTTTTGAGGTCATGACATTTTTTATCCCTCTCCCAATGGAGATTAGGTTCTTTGTGTTAGACGTCCGCGCTAGTTGTGAAGGTGAAACCACGACTTAAATCAGATAACAGCACTAAAAAACACCTAAGATGTTGTACTACGTTACCCTGTCTTTATAATAGTTTGGCTGTGTGAACCACGGATTCTACTTTTAAATGGAGAACAGAATTCATGGTTAGTTTGTAGTTGTCGCGAGGCCAATAGTTAGAATTATCCATTCATTATTGGTAATGATATACTTAGCTTGCTAAATGGTACTTCTACTCAACTAAAGATTTTAAAAACAAAACCAGTAAATTGACAATGTTTTGCAGAATTTTTCCTTCCAAAAAAAGTCAAGAAACTGCTTGATAAGTTTTCCAAATGTTAGTTATTTACCTTAATGCATTTCTAAGATGCTTGTTGTGGTGCCCTTGCGGAGGATATTGGACTCAGGATGTTCCTCTCATCAGTTGCATTCGTATTCGTCAGGACTTTCCTCTATTTTATTACCTTCTCCTCAAAACTTAACTATCGAGTTACTGCCATGGTCAGATGAACTACTTGTTCGATGGCCAAGCTGTGGCTGAACAAATTTTATGGCGAAGTATATAAAAATGAGTTGAAGAAATTTTACAAGAGAGTCATTTTCATGAGTTTAACTTGTTAAAATTGGCTTGCTGAATAAAACTTGTATGATGCAATGTCTCTGTTGATGAGCTCTTAAATACATAGTTAAATTGTTTATCTAATCCTCCCCTTATTTCAATTACATGATATGCAAACATCAATACAAATATCATGAAGTTTGTACTTCTATTGATGTTGTAATCACAGACACGATTGAAAATGATATTGTCATTTCTTTTTTAAGAAAAATGGAGATGATATAATTTATAAATTGGAATTTTGAAATTGTAAGCGCTGCAAACCCTTGATAACCTTTAGTAATGCGAATTCAATTTCCTTATATTTTTAATGGAATTGTTTTAAAAGAAAATAACACTGAAACGTTATTTACATTTAGAAATTGTTTTAAAATACATCTTATAAGAATGATTTAAAAGTAAAACTTGTTCTGAAGTATAGATGTATGTTGACTTTTTAAGTTTTTATTTATCTGAGGAGTTAAAAAACTTCTTTGAAATGATATTTTTTAGTTGTACTTTCTCCCTGGTATACAAAATAACTACCCCCAATGTTACAAAATAGCTTAAATACAATTATTTGTGTTAAGAAAAAAGTTGAAATCTTAGACAAGGGTTTTTTTAATAAAATTCAAACTTATTTAACATACTAAAAAGACACAACAAAGCATCAAAATCCATGTTTGATTTCATGTTTAAATATTCATAAATTCACTTTTACTTCCATCCTAATATTTATAACTTCTGCATCAAATACATGTTTATAACTTTTTTAACGTGTTTTCAAACATATACTAAATGCATTTGAATTTACTTTAAATATTTTACAAATATGAATCTAATGTAAACTACAACTAAAAAAGTTGAAAGAAACGTAAATCTTTAAACATTTAAACACAAATTCAAACATGCTATCACAGCACATTTGAATTCAATTTTTTTTCCACCAAATTCATGTCTCTTCAAACATTTCTAAGAGTTTGGCATTCTCAAATGCACGTATAGCCTCTACGAACGTATATGACACACTCATTCATGTTACATCCAGATGAAGTAATTAGTGACATATTAAATCATGTTACATACACAAGTATATTCAGTTCCCATACATTTGGCTGCAAACTTCTCTACAATTGGGAGAGGTCTAGAAATCATTGTTAAACGCAAATTCAGGAGAGGCAATCAATATTTTTAACGGGAAAAGGAATATCCTGAGGTGAAGCTCGCAAAAGCAAGGAATTCAATAGCACATAAAAGGAATAAATCCATTTTTACACTGTCGAAGCACGCCCCCCTATCGTCCCATCTCATAGGAAACTATAATCATCTTCATCACTCATCCCAAGGAAACATAATACGGCTAACACAAACACAAAGTAGGAAGATAGTTCCATTGCAAAGGCTCCCCAACCGATAACCCCAGCATGCTTTAATATGCTCGGAATGGCAATGCCTCCCACAGTTGAGGCTCCGGTCAAAAACTTCGTTAAATTCACCCAGCTGCTCCATCATTCATAATATCATAAAACAAAAAATTGAAAAATCAATCTCCCATTTTAGGGATGAGGTTTTTCATTTATTTCTTTTCTGATAAAATTCAGATATTACTGGTGAAGATCAAAATAATTTAACAACTCTGTTAAAAGTTGAATTATCTTCTTTTTTAATTTGGGCTAAAGCATAACAGTTTACCTATTATCAGATTCAGAAAATATAGAAACATCAGATCCCACAAAGAACAGCAAAGGCATTGGAAGAAGCACATACGTTATCACTGCAAGAGAAAAAAAATAAGAATACATGATGTAATACCAACCAAGGATCCGTTCTCGTCACATAACAATCCCATCATTAGAAAGAAATAAACATATAGTACACTGGAATCAAATTTCAATGATGTTTCATACCACTTAGCATCGGCCACCAATTATTATACAAGGCACATGCCTGACACATAACACAGATGACAGATGTAAGTAAACAGTGACATTGTTACCAATAAATTGTCATCTATTTATGGACTAATAAATCAAGAACAAAAAGGCAATACGGACCAAAATCTGCAAGACGATTCCTCCAGAGACCAAAATTGCCAAAGAGGCAAGCTTCCCTGTGTTCAAACAGGCACGTATATATCCTGGTAAGTCTGCCATCTCCAGATCACCTCATGTTATCGCGAGTAATTACTGAAGCAAATTCACACAAAGCTATTAGATCAGAAGAAAACACTAAATGAAGAAGTAACTCTAGCAAACACATTGGTAAATGAAGAAAGAAAATCTAGTAGCTTAAGATCAATGTGGGACAACAAGCAAGCAAGCAACCTAATAATATCAAAAAGAGAACAAAAGACATCTTTTGTTGCGGGACAACCCAACATTACTAAAACCATTCCCAATTTTTGTGAAAAACACACATTCAGCCCTAATTTGGCATACAAGAGATAACCTTCATTTAACAATCTAATGACATTTCATTCAATGTACAATTTACAACCCTGCGCATATCTGACAAGTTCGAAGAACTGACATAAAATGATGAAATGACCTAAAACCATAGCGCACACAAAATGGTAGTTTACAATCAAGTCCAGAATCAATACAAAACAACATTCTGCCCAGTTTGAATAATTGGATAATAGAAGGCAAATCATTTATCATATTTAGACTAAAGAATTTTAGACAGTTCACAGCTACAAGAATAGCAGCAAAGCTTTATAATAATATGGTAAATTACGAATTGAATCCATTAAGCAACTTAATTGAATAAATGATTTTTCCCGTGACAGTGAGAGATGCAAAAAGACAGTACTACAAGCTGGAAGAAGCAAAAAACTAGTGTGAGGGTAAAGAGAAAACAGATTGACAACCATATAGCTACCATATAGCATACAGAGTTTAGAGTTAAAAATATAATAATTGCCCTAATATTAGATATAGATAGGGTGAGAAGAAGAAATTAAGATCATCGGAATCAGAATTAGAAGAGAGCTTGAAAAAATCGTACCTCAAATTTATCACGGTTTTGGTTTTGATTTGTTTCCCTCGAAATAGAACGCTTAATTTGATTTATATTTTACAATTATATTATGTAACGACGAGATGTACACACCATCGGCGCGGATCTGCCACTCTGGTTGGTCTCAGATACAGAGCAAGCTAGCGGTCCAATCCAATCTGATCTCAGGTTTCCTTTCTCCTCACGTTATTTTCTCCATATAATTTAAATCTCATAATAATATTTTATGCATTTTAATTTAATTAACTTATTTTAATGTAATATTTCTTGGGAACGATTTTACATTAGTTAAAAAATAATAAAATAATTTTTTTAATCGAAAATTGAATTTTATTAGAGCGCAGTTGATTATTGTTTGTGAGTTTAAGAAAGTAAATTGAAATGCTTTTTAATTTCTTTTAGCAACGTAATTTATGTGATGTTGAGCTTAAATTTGAATGGGCGTAAAAAAAGTATTTTTTCCTATATTTCTTTATTATTTTAATAATGATAAAAATATATATACATCCTTTATTTTTAAATCATTTGCAAAAAAAGATTTAAAAAAACACTATCGTACAGATCTTTAAAACATGAAATAAAATAAAATCTCAAATCAATTAAGATGAAAAATTACCCTTTCACTTTCCTAAACGCTTCGCCTCAAATTGGCATTATGTAATTAGAGAAAATTATATAATTATTTTTCATTTAATTTCATTTATGTATATATGCGTGAATATATATTGAGATTTTTCCCTGCATTAATTAATTAACAATAATAATAATAAGAGGAAGGATTACAAATTATAAAAATTTGAAATTCTCAATTATTTAAGGATTTGAATATAAAAATTTACTGAAATAAACAATTTATTAGTAATTGTTTCCACTCAATTTTAGTACTCTAACTACAGTATTGGATAATAAAATTAAATTAAATTAATAACCTGATTAAAGCAAAAACAGTATCCATATGGATAACATGTAATTAAAAAATTTTAGATCATAAAATTAATTAATATAATATCTGATAATTTTAAATTTTATTTATGAATATATTTATCATTAACAAAAATAATTATTAGAATGCTATAAAGCTAAGTCTGCTTTTAAAAATGATTTGAACTGAGTCTGTAAAACTATTTCAAATATATTTACTTATTTTTTAAAAACGTTCTCTTAAAACTAAGAAAAAATTATCTAAAATAAGTTTTGAGTGAATTTTGATTGAAACCAAAAATTGATTTGAGAACCCACTTAAAAGCAGCATGGAAGAGAGAAAGAAGAGTGGTGGTTTGTGAATGATGGTGTCCTGTGTAAGCATGAGGAAGAATGGGCGAAGGGAGGGTAAGTCTAATTTGATCCCAGAGAGTTCGGTGAAATCGTTAATGGAAATAGAACCTCCTCCGAATTTGTTACCCTCCAAAAACGAGTTCCCCAGACTCCTCTTCGTGCTTGCACTGGCATCGCTTGTTGCTTGGTCCTGCAACCTTCTTTTCACCTCTCTCGTTAAACCTCCATCCAAACCCTTCTGCGACACCAACCTCCACTCTCCCGATTACTTTCCCGGTCTCTCTCTCTCTCAATTTCATTTCCATTCATATTTCGTTGCATTGCATTGAATTGAATTGATTCTCTAGTTTCCCTCATCTGCATTTTATGATATGTCTATGAATAATTGAATTTTTGACTTAGCAAATTATGCCATGCTTTTATGCATGCGTGTTTCTTTTTGTTTTTATTTTGAACTGTTATACCTCGTTTTGTTCTTTTGTTTAATTTGGTTGGATACAAATGCCTTTCTAATTGCAAGCCCTCTAAGATATTCATCTGTTTCGTATTACCTTTAATAGGTTTTTTCTGTTTGTTCTCTGCCTTGTGTTATCAATCAAATATTGTAGTCTCAACGTGTAGGTTTCTGCAAATTATTTGTTTCTTGTCTATTTTCTCATGACTGGGAATTGTAACAGATGTTTGTGAACCTTGTCCAAGTAATGGAGAATGCAATGATGGCAAGTTGGAATGTCTTCAGGGTTACCAAAGGCACGGGAACTTGTGTGTAGAAGATGGGGACATTAATGAGTCAGCTCGAAAGATTGTGTGTCACTAGAATTTGATTTGTTGTTGTTTACTGGTTCTGGGAAATGAATAATGTCTATCATCTTTTCCTTGTTCTTTGTATTTGTTACATCTTTCTGATAGGCAATTTGTTTATGGTTTGATTGACCACAGGTGGAGAGAGTGGAACATCACCTCTGTGAAGAATATGCTCAATTTTTGTGCAGTGGAAGTGGAACAATTTGGGTAGTTTTCTCTTTTTTATCCCTTGCATTCTGCAGTTTATATGTATTTATTGTATGTTTGGCATTATTTATTACTCCTGGAGTTGTTCTTTGAATGTTTTTGGTTTCAATTTTTCTTTCATATTACCATCTCAGGTTCATGAGGATGATTTGTGGAATTATTTTGAGCCAATAGGAAATGTCAAAGTTGATAATGAACTTTATAATTATACAAAACAAAGGGCAGTTGACACAATGGTTAAATTGTTAGAGACAAGGTTAAACTCTCATGGGTATATCATCTCTTGCTTTTTAATCTGTAAGGCAGTAGTGGCTTTCAGTCATATTATTAGAGACTTTTTCTTAGGATGTTACTTATGTCTCATACAGGATGAAGGAGTTTAAGTGTCCAGATTTGTTGGCAGAGCATTACAAGCCATATGCCTGCCGCATTCGTCAGTGGATCTCAAAGAATATTCTAGTTGTTCTGCCCATTTGTGCCATGGTATCCATTTGCTATAGGATGATTTCATGTGTATATATCTGTTATCAATGAGTAAACATATTAACAGTATTGAGATTTAAACAGCTTGTTGGATGCACAACTTTGTTCTGGAATGTCCGTCGGAAACTACACATGTCAAGACGAGTTGAGGAGCTTTACAGCAAGGTGTAGTGGGATATAGACACACACAGTCACATGCCCAAGTGATTATTACATGTTTCATTGATGATCTTTTCCCCCTTCAGTTTAGCAAGTGTGATTTTAAGTTTTGATGGCAGCATGCGCTTGATTAAGAATGTTTGGAAGCACATAAATATATTCTAATAAAATACTCATGTTTGTTAGAGTTCACAAAATAGTATGATATCTGTTAGAGGAAAATGCTGTGCACAAGGAGCACAGGGTTCATGCACCCCACTTTTACTATTTGATATATATTACAGTTCTGTAGGCTTAGACAAGTGAAAAAATATCTGTGTTCCCAATTTGTTTTGGTGGAGTTTGTATAAACTGGGATTTCGAACAATGCAGTTGACCAATAGCTCAAATGGCAAAGCAAGCTGATTGTGTCATTTTTTCAAATAAATATATAATTAAATTAGTTTGGCTTTTCTTTGTCTCCTGTTGACTACAATTACAGCTGTTATGCACAGGTTCTTTTTGACTTAATGAGTAATTGCATATTTCTTCTGGTCCTACCTCTGTTTAAAACTTCTTTGTTGCCGGTGTCTTAGGTCTGTGAAATACTTGAAGAGAATGCATTGACATCGAAAAGTGAAAATGGGGAATGTGAACCCTGGGTTATTGCTTCTAGGTTACGGGATCACTTGCTTTTGCCAAGAGAGCGGAAGGACCCTTTATTATGGACAAAGGTAGTTTTGAAGTTATTTTGGAATTTGTTGTTCTTGATTATCTTGTTTCTGTCATAATAATAATTAATCAATCAATAAAGCACAAGAAACTAATTCATTTTGTCTGTATTACTTAACTGACTCCAGCTTTGCCTTGTTTATTGGCTGATTTTAGAATGAAGTTTCAGCATATGATTTTTATTTGTGCTGAGATCATGCTTTCTAATTCTCTATTTATCCATATTTTGTGGGGTTCTGCTTATATGTAATCTAAGAACATTGATTAAGAAATATTTAGTATACTATATTCAATGTTTTTAATTACTTCAAAAAGTATTAAAAATTATTTTTATGTTTTCAAATGAATGCTTTCATTTTCATTAAATACTTCTACTTTGGTCCCTTTAACCGGTGACCTTCCTTAAGGCACTGGTTTGCATTTGTCTTTTGTTTAACCCTATGCTGGAAAACAGACATGCTCCCATTTTTGAGGATTTCAGTGAGGAAGGAAGTCACACTATTTATAAAATACCCTTGTAAATCAACAGATTTGGGTTATTCTTTCTTTTCTCATTCCACCTATTGATTGATGAATTGTATCTAGGACCCAACTATTTGTAGAGATGCTGTTGATGAAATCACATTGTCCTGTGATTATAGTTAAATATTTAAATGGTTTTTAAATCAACTAAACGAATGATTAATTTTTGTTATAATTTTATTTGAGATTACAGGTAGAAGAATTGGTTCAAGAAGATTCTCGAGTAGATCGCTATCCAAAGTTGGTGAAGGGTGAATCAAAAGTGGTATGGGAATGGCAAGGTACATGGGTGTACTGACATGTTAGAGTAGTCAATGCTGGCCAAAGATTCAAATTAAATTACACTGGGGGATTTTGGCTAAATTACTCTCACTATTCAATTCACTTATAGTATAAATTTGTTAGATAATATAATGAAAGCCTATTCCATCAAGTAATAACCAGCAATTTAACATGCTGATACATTTCTAATGCATTGTTGCGAGGCAATCTTTTCAGCTGACATTCTGATTACTTTTAAGTATTACTAGTTATTTATATTTTTTCCTTGCCCGACACTCTACAGTTGAAGGCTCTCTGAGCGCCTCAAAGGTGAAGAAAAGAAGAGATGCCAGCAAAACGAGGGTCAATGAAAGCACGGACCTGAATCATCAACAACACCCTGCAATGAAAGCAGGTCGGTGGTTGTTTTACTAGCATGTGCTTTGTAGTCATGCTTGTCTTCTGATGTAGTAAAATTGATTGGTTGTGCCATTAATATGCAGAGCCAACGGAACCACTACATTTTTTATATGGAGACTCCTCCAAACAGTGACTACGTTCCCATGTAAATTAAGGTGGCCCAAACTCGTCTCAGCTGAAGGCAAGCTTACCTTGTTTTTACAAAGAAGACTGGGTAAGCTATCGTGTTTATGTTTACAGCAGCAAGGGGCAGTACGTGCGGCATTGGTGTAAGGTGTGACCAGCATTTGATCAAACTTTTGTTCACCCAAAAAATGTAGGTCCATGGGGCCTGCATGCATGTAAGCTTATCATGAAATATGCTTATTGCTTAGAAAGGAAAATCACGTCTTTGAAGCTCTTACCTCCGTGGGACTTGATTGACGGCTAACAATATACTTGTATACTTATGAGGTTCTAACTACATTTAAAATTAAACATTTTGTTGTCAAAACCAATCCAATATATTAAAGCATTCAAAGAAAACGATATGAAAGTACAGGAGTTAAGGCATGTGGATGGCGACTACGAATGTAAATGAATTCGGGCCTGTGATATTTGTCGAGTTGGGATATTGTAATCTGTCTACTATTCTGCCTGTTACTTTTTATGTGTAATTGTAGTTGCAATCACTTTTAGTCCCGTTAATTGGCTAAAAAATATTTGGCAGACCAAAATTGTGTACAGATTAAATTAAAAAGATCAGAAGTGTAGTTAATCTGTACTGTATTAAATCTATGTATCCAATAGTTCTGATATGTCTCACTTCTTTATCAATTGTTTTCCCGCCTATTGCAGTCATGTTTTTAGGATTTTATTTTGTGTTTAATTACACTGCATTGAAATTAATTGGTAATTTTAATTAAAAAAAAATGGTGATGGTTTAGGTCTCGTGCTTTTTAATCCGAGGAAAGCACGGGGCGAACCTCCAGTTTTATATGAACATAATCATTCATTTCATAAAACACTCTCCTCCCTCCCCTCCCAATCTATTATGTTGAGTTTTACAAAGAAACACAACCTCTACAGTTATTTTTCCATCCACTGATGATTACTTTGAATAAAAAGTTTATGATTTCAAATAAATTGATTTTTGATATCTTCTTGAATAGAAAGTTTTTTTCTTTTTGGTAATTAGAATAGAAAGCTTAATATATTTATATTTTTATTATCAGTAAACTATTTTTTCCTACATTAAAAGAATATTTTTAAAAGATATTTAAGTAGTTTACCTACATTTAAAATGACTCATACTATGCACAATATTTAGTACTAAATATAAATACCAAGCTCTTTTTTTATTTTATATTTATAGTATTTTTATTGGGCTATTGAAGTATTAGATTGAATATATTTATGTAATAAAACATGTATTTCCAAGTAAATCATATTAATTATTTTTATGCAGGCTGATAGTTTGTTTTGGATTTAGAATGCCAATGAACATTAGAAGTAATAATTTTTTGTTTTACTTCTTTACAAACGTAATGGAAAATGGAAGAAGTCTTTAACGATGCAAAGAATTTAAGCTCAACAACTTGTTAGGTGCCATTATGTTCAAAATTAAACTCGGTATTATCCGATGCATCACAAAGATTACATTAAATTTATAAACTTCGACCTCACAAACAACTGCCCGTCTAGCTCAGTTGGTAGAGCGCAAGGCTCTTAACCTTGTGGTCGTGGGTTCGAGCCCCACGGTGGGCGTTTTTTGACATTTTAAAACCCAGCTCATGGATGTAACATGCACTTTCCCTAGCTCATGGATGTTCGACAAATGCACAAAAGTACAAACATTCAGGTACATACTTTCTTCTACAATCTACATACTATACATATGTTTTATAATTTAAACAACCAATTCCCCTCTCATGCCATAAAACCTGCACCAGACAAACCAACACGCTATATTAAACTTTTGGTAAACATTCGAGCAATTAATTTTATGCAAAACTCTAAGTTCTGTTATTTAAAATGTTTATGAAATTAAAATTAGAGTTTTATTTTACTAAAATATTATATTTAATGTTATCATAAGATACTGAAGTAAACTTTTAATTTTAATTTTAAACAACATCAATAACAATTTGTTTACCATGGATTTTGCAAGTAGACAAATTCAACACTAATTTGCAATTGAGTTTTAAATCTTCTTTATAGGTTCTTAACACCTTAAGAAAGGTAAAATAAAACAAAAAGGTTAGGGAAAAAAAAAAGTACAAGACAATGTTAAAGTAAAATAATAAAAAATTAAAGGAAACAATTAAAATTAAATTAAATTAAATTACAGCATATAAACATACAAATTTAATAACAATCAATATAGAAAAATGTTGATTTCTTTATAGTTGATCTAACTAGTATAAATCTTTGACAATGCAGAAATTTTTAAGTGTTAGTATTTGTATAAAAGTTGCAACATCTAAATAATGAAATGAAATCTTACTTTTAATTATAACACAATGAAAGTGTCTCTTACTAGTAAATTTAAATTACAAGTGCCTAAAAACATGTATTTATAATTACTTTTGCATATTATCTATAATTTTTGCCATATGTATTGAGTGAGATCTTTAACTGATAATAACAAATGATAACTGCAGATAACTGCTTCAAATATATTTGAATTCTTTAACATAAATTCATCATTTTTTATATACACATTTGTCACTAAGACTTAAATGTTTTTGTATTTAAAACACTTCAACTTTTGATGAACTAAGCCTTACATTTTTCATCGATAATCCTTCGTTATAAAATCGATCAAATTCTCTTGAAATATCAAAATTTCAACTAAAAATCAAGTTTCTTTTGTTCATCCTCTTTTTTCGTAGCATACTCTAAAATTTGTCAAAAAGTCATCTCCTTTTCAACTAAAAAATATATTTCCAAACACAATTAAATAAATTTTCTCCTTAATTTTTTACCTTTGATGTCACACTCCCCATCATCAACGTTCACATTCTATATATATGAATAATTTTTTCCTCCATATGCATCTTCTACTAGTACGAGGAAGACTTCGCTTACTAGCATATTTTATTATATATTGAGAATTTGAATTTCTGATAGTAACATAACACTAAATGTATGCTAAATAAATTTTGCCAAAATAACATGTTACGAACACTTCTTGCCGTACTTGTAAGATAGAGGAGCTAAGAAAAGAAAATTTTAGAATTCACTAATTAAGAAACACGACATAAACCCGAGAATAAACATTATTGTATTTTTGCACACAGTTTTCTTCACACTATTTCTTTTAGCTTTCTGTTTGTCTAAAATTTAAGATAAAGACAAAAACATTAAAATATGCTTTTTTGTTTATTTTAAAAAATAATAAACATTATTGTGAAGATAAAAGTCTTAAATTAAAGTGTTGCTCAAAATAATAAGTTAATTTGATTTATGACGCATGAATTATCTTCCATACTATTATCTATCTAAAGTAACATACATTAATTATAAATCTTTAATTAAATTTTTACATAAATAAACTATACCATATATATTTGAGTTCGGAATAGGATAAATATAATCTGTTTCTTTTCTCCTACCCTAACAACAATTATGTATTTTTATTTTGTTAATAGTTTTTTGTTCTAATTATTTAGTTATGGTTAATTACTTTCTCTACGTCATGCAAGTCATGTAATTGACTTTTATTGCAAACCTTTTCATCATTTCATCGATCTTGCCATATTTCTATACAAAGTTGTAACGTAACCGTGACAAATTGTAATTTGAAACTTGATTAGGAACTTTTTTTTGTCTCATATATTACTTTTATTTGGGGAACAGGAAAACGTTTTTCCGATTTACTTATTAATTGAGACACAAAACAAGTAAAATTTTATGGTTGCATAGGATGAAGTGGCCATGATTGTTTCTCTTGGAGCATCATTATATCAATAATGAAGGGTTTGATCCGTGAGATTATTTCCTAATGGAAACAAACAAAAGGAAAATCAAACACGAGGTTGAAAATACCCGGATAGCAAATGTGGTTCTCAAGCAAAGTGAAACTTAATTAAAAATTGGAAATAAGAGCCCAACAAAAAGTAGAGTAATCATGTGGCAATAAAATCAACCAATTAGTGGGACTCTTTTTATTCAACTACATGGAAAGACAAGGACATGTTCCTCAATTTAAGAGCTATTTTGAATTGTGGGTGTTTGTATTTGCTCCTAGAATGCTCTTCAAAATAGGTGAAAATGATTGAGCCTTAGAAAATGTTGAACGTGACAATTGGTAAGATGGGAGGAGACAAAGATCTATGGTATGATAATGTATGTGGGTCTTCCACTATGTCCAAGATAAAAAGAAAAGGAATTGAGAGAAGATCCTTTGTTTTTATGTACCCTTACACTTATAAACTATGGGCGATGGTTTGGTGATTAAGGAAAAGAGTGAGTGATTGCTCCATGGTTTTCTTTTGGATTTCTCATACGTCTTTGGAATGCTCACAATTGCTATGCCTAAATTGGTATGACCTGGATGATGAACACCTAGCTTAATATTGGTATCAAGAAGCCAATCCTGTCTTGGGTAGGTGGAAATATCCTCATGCAATTTATAATCAATTTCTAGCTCAAAGAAAATGGAATTTCCACTGTTTGTCTCATGTTCATGTGCACTAGATGTTCAAATCAGCTTAATTTGACTCGGGCATTAACTCAACCTAACATAAAATTTTAGTAAGTTGGATTATAAAAAGTGACCCATAGTTCCTCAACGGATTAGTATAATTTCATAATTTTTTAATTATGTAAGATTTTTTACTAAGCTCATGTATCCCTTTTTTAAAATAGTAAACTCGTGAGTTTTTTTAATGAATAATTTTTTATTATATAAGTAGTTTAATGATTTAAAATTTGCTTACTAACTTAGCAATATTAGTTACTATATAACAATGAAGAAAATGATATAAATTCATTTATAATTTTAAAATTTATTATTATTATTATTTTAATTATGAAGTAAATCTATAAATTAACTCTGGGAATTAGTGAATCAAATCAGACAATATTTTTTTAATTCATCAGAAAAATAGTTAAAAATTAGATCATGCATATTCTTTAAAGAAGATTTCTTTCAAGTATAAGAATGTAAATTCAAGATTGTAAGTTAAATGAAAGCAATTTGACGCTAAATGATCACGTATTCGGTGAAATATATATTATGTTATTACATTTGATTTTGCAATAAATTATAATAATAAATATTAATTGTTGAACTCTATTTAAATAATTAAAATTAAAGAAATAATATAGCGATACATTGATATTTAAAGTAAAAATATTGATTTTAAATTGACAATTAGAAATTAATAGTAGCGTTTCGCAGGAGCGCAAATTAAGCAATGAATAAAATTCACGTGATCAATCACAGGAGTCAGGACTCGAAACAACGTTCACGTGAGTCAATGTCGACCCTTATCGTTTATGAACTTTCGACGTGACATTTCACTTTGGAATCCCACACACTTAGTTTTCGATATTATAAGCCATTTGCTCTCAGAATTTTAAATAATATTTAAATGTTTAATATACATTTACAATTTTATTAAATTATAATTGTACTGTATTTATTATTATATATTTTTTGGTGTGTGTACAAAGAGGGCAAAAGCTTAGAAGTTTTAAAAGGGAT